TTTTTGTCACAATTGGTGTTTATTTTCATGATGGCTATTAAAAATAATTGTAAATATTGAATTCTCAACCTATAATTTCAATAATAAACATACGTTAATGTTAAATTACAGGTGATTATTACCTAATAATAAAATTGTATTATTTCCCCATTTTCTTGTGTTAGAATGTGTGTTTCATGTGTTAGAACTTATTAGAGCTATTTGCGAAAAATATGTAGATATAAGAATAAATCACGAAACAAAAATATTTAACTTTCTAAAAGTTACAAAACGACATGTACTAAATAAAGTTACAATATTTAAAGGCCAATAAAGATTTTAAAGTAATGTTAGAATTTTATTTTTTATCCAAATTTTAAAAATCTTAATAGCTTTAGCAATTTTAATGTTTATATTCGTATATTAAAAATATATGCCGTTACATTTTGCATTAGTTAAACTAATTTTATCATAATGTTTCAGAAAAATGACAATTTAAGAAATAGAAAAAATAATATATTTTTTTAATAACTCCTATAAAAACAGTACACTCAAACTACAGAAAAGTAAAAGTGTGTATCATGTATTAAAAAACTTTTGAATGTAAATTTATTTAAAAAATATGAATAAGAACTTGTGAAGACTGTATGTGAAAAATATATCGATGTGATAATAAATCATGAAGTTAAAATATTTAATTCAGTGAAATCTACTAAAAGACAAATATTAAATAAATTAGTATTACTTAATGGACAATAAATATATTTTAATTATTTTGTAGGTTTATTTAATATAAGCAAGACAAATTATATTATTTTCTGAATTACAAACTTGAAAAATAACTATTTGTCATAAGTATAAAAATATTGCCTTAATCCGAACCTGCTCAAAGTATGCGCGCTCAGATTACTTCACACACTCCACTTCCCCACAATTTGGCTTCATCGATTCCCGTGCTTTGGGATAGGAAACGTACATTCTAGGTGCTCTGTGGTTTGTATATTCGTATTTGCCACCTCAATATACGTAAAACTACAAATATTCAAAACAATATCGGTACATACATGCTTAAAATGTAGCAAAAAATCGAAAATAATTTTTCAACTTTTAATACCCTGTAGAACAAAAGGAGCAATAATTGACTAAAGCATGTTTGGCTCAATTGCTGTATTTTGAGGATAGCAATCTGCCATTAAGCTGTGTACCATTATTAATGACTCACCCTGTATATGTTTTTAAAAATACCTATACTTGTTTTAATTTTTTATATTTCACTGTTTAGCATATTATTCTACCTCTGTTTTGCTTCAAAAATTAAAAACATCCATGGAAGAAGCAAAGCAAACCTCTATTAATAATCATTTAAATAATCATAAGTATACTAATGAAAATGTCATTTATCTTTTATTTACATTTTTAATCTGAAGTTTGAAGATAAGAATAACTGAAGTGCGATCAAGTGAAGGCTCATTTTAAAAGACTGATATATTGTTTTTTTGGGACACGGCCATGTGCACAAAAATTGTTAATAGTCAGTATTGAATAAGTGAAATTATGTGCTGTGTTTAAAATTTACCAATTTGCATAAGATGTTCAAATGTCTGTACAAGAAAGTGATATCAGTTCCAACACACATGACTCCACGGGGTATATTACTCGAGGACGTAGTAATACATGGAGTAACACAGCTACCAGATCAAATTCCGTCAGCCAAGTAACTCGGGTCCCTAGAAGATCCCTTTGGACCCTGGTATGTTGAGATTTTCTTATATTAACAATTACCAATTACCACTATTTTCGACAGTATTTATACATTTTTGCGTAATCAGATTTACAAGGTCAAAATTACAGAGTGTTTTATCTATTATCGTTCGAATACTTTCAGAAAAATTGTAAGTTATTTTTTAAAATGCGTATTATTGAGATATAATAATTGAATATTAAACTACTATCTCATAATAATTGTAATAGACAGTATGTAAGTCATATTTCGCATTGCGAACCTTGATGTTCATCCTCTGGTAAACCTGTCGATTTGAAATCGAAGGTCGAAATTATATCAAATTACTTGAATAGGTACGTTAACTGTTATTTGTCAATTTAGTATAATTAGAAAAGAAAAATATTTTTATATTTGACGCCTGCACGTAGGACTCGAGACATCCTCATTTGTCTTCTAAACCATAATCTAAAAAGAGTAAAAGTAGTCTTGAGTATAAAATTAAATAATTTTTTAAATATATCGTTATATTATTATTATTTAATAACATATATATCTGAGAATGTTAATTAAACCAGCATTCTAAAAATGAAAAATTTCTAATATGAAGAGCTCAATACCTAATAAAAAAAATATGGTCCACCCACCAAATGGCTGAAACTTTTAGATAAACTGAATAGGTACATAATAAGGATTCTCCCACAGTCATATGATTCTCCTCTCTATAGTTAGTATACAATCCATTTGTGGCCTCTAACAAAAAAAGTGAATTTTGAAATGGTTTGAAAAAATTGTTGATATTTTTAATTAAGATTAACAGCGTTCTCCATTCATCTGCACTTTTGCACTCAGTGTGCACTGAGTCTATTTTCATCCTTTATTATCCGGTTTGATATTAAAGGATGGACATATTCAGAGTGCGCACCGAGTGCAAAAGTGCAAATAAATGAAAAACGCTGTAAAATTATTGGTACCCATTAGGTATCTGAAATTGCAATAGTACAAACAAAATAAATCAATTTTTTTTAAATCTGCATGGCTGTCGTCAAAATAGTTAAATAATCTAAAAGAACTTTACGAGTATTGGTTGGTTTATAAAGAGTATTAGTCCTAACTTAGCCGTAACTTAACCTTAATCTTAGTCCTAAAAAGTTAAATGTACAGAATGTAATGTATCGGTTTATAAAAATCCCTAGTCGTAAGGAGGTCTTAAGACATGACCTTGAAAGTTCCCATCTTTTAATTTTTCTAGTATTAAGACTAGGATCTGAGAAGTGCGCATGCACAAGTATTGCATTTCGTAGCATAGTGGCCTCCTGTCTTTNAGCATTCTGCTGGGTGTGGGTATGTTTATAATACCGTACGCTTTTATCTGTATGTTCAACAGTCGTGGAAAGTTCAGGAAACGTAAGATAAAAAAATATGTTTTTTTTTTCTTACTTAAAATGTGTTGTCAGTTATCTCACACCCTGAAGAACACTTGCATGAGTAGTACAGTGAAGAGTTATCGTTTCTAACTTGTTTAGATTTTTTAAACAATTGGACAAGAAATTCATTGAAAATTGCGCCTAAAAACGCCCCCCTTAATACTAAGACTAAGTTAGGACTAATACTTTTTTATAAACCAACCATATATATTATTTATTTACTAAATGTCAAATGTCATAAGGAATTAGGTTAGGTATTCCTTCATAAACGCAAAACCAGAATATAAGAGACCTTATTCTTTATGGTAAACTGTGCAGTTACTTATCTACGGCAAAGGTCGCTGGTGATTTGTCCACAACGAATTTGAAGAAATGAGTATTATGAATTATAACCTTCCAGTCCAGTAGGAATTATGATCTTTAGGAATTTTAGCATGTTATTCGTCACTTTTCGTATCATACCATTATTAGCAGTTTGACATTTCGTGTTTATTGTATCATTATTGGGATATTATTAAACTGTTTTCGTGGCTGTGACAAAATTTATGTTAAATGTAATCAAGACTTGTAGTTTTTTCTTTTAATGGCATCAGATAATATTTTTGGATATGTTCCACAAGTAGGAATAGATGGATTTGTAAGTACTTCATATCCTTGCACTTGTTACTGCTGTCATTAAGTTTATAGTGTCATTCGCAAAAATAATGTGTTAATTTCATAAAATATGTTTTTATAATCATCCTTATGAAGAAAGACAATGCAAATGTTGTAATGCAATGATTCTTCTAATAGTGAACTTAGGAAGCTATTACTTTGTTAAGCACTATTATTATTAGGTACCTAGGTATATGTAATTACATAGTAACAAAATATTCTTTCACAAAAGATAAACTTATGTACGAGGTGTAATGTATATTTTTCCTTACTGTCAGCCTGCTTCAGCTCTTTTTTTTTTATTTAGATATTTTAGAAAAGGCATTGTTGGATAAATAACTAGAACTATTGGAAATACCTTAAAAGTTTTACAACTGATTACAGGTTCAGTCTCACATGAAAGATAATCATAATCATTTAATACCTTTAGAAATGTATATACAGTTTAAGCTACTTCTAAGTATTTGCAAATTGGGATATTTAGAACTGATAATTTATAAGCAGTATAACAGAGAAGAAATATTTCTAACTCATTTCAGAACATAAAAATATAATATACTTCATAATCCGTGACTTCATATATTTCTTTCCAATCATATGTCTGTGCTAGAAACTCAGTTAACAAGTGTACATAAGTAATTATTTAAATAACAAATTAAGTTTTTATATATTATATTTAATTGCTTATTCTGAAACTATATGCCTAAGTTTTTAATGCGTCATTTACGATGTAAATATTTCATAAAATTGTTCCGACGGTATAATCCATAGCTTATATGTTGATATGATTATTAGTACATACACTATACACTGTAAATATTAGTTTCCTGTGACTTATCTAATTAGACCTATTACATTGGCCTCTAATGAGTGAAACATTGCAAAGAATGACATTTGATACATATTTAGAAATAGATTTATAAAAAGTTAATTTTGTCATAACTTCAGTATTTATTAGAATTGATTTTAAGTTTCTCAAAATTTCAAACATGTGTTCAAGTTACGTATTATTTTATTATTAATATTGCAATACACAAATGTCGATATTCAGTAATTTTATTAAGTAGGTATAACTTTGGTATATCATAATTATTATAAACTTTATTTTTATATTTTCAGACAGAAGAGCCGACTAGTAAAATTCGACTTAGGGTAATCCGTGGCAAAAATCTTATGAAAAAAGACATATTTGGGGCTAGGTACGTTTGTGCTTTACTATCATATTTTTTTGTCGGATTGTGAATGTTGTTAAAGCAATACTAATAAATAAGTCAATTTTATATCAACATAACCTGTTTAAAATTAGGAGAAATTGGTTTTTGCGTTCTTTTTTATATCGAGGGTGTCATATCATAAGGGAGTAAGTGCCACTATAGTCGGTTTTAGGTTTTTAGGGCGTATGACCTCATTTAATCAATTCGCTTAATAGCTTAATATATCAGAAGGGCATATATATTCATAAACATCAATTCTCTATTCTAACGTATTTTACTTAGGCGTATGAACCAATTTTGCAAAACTATAATATCAGAAAGGCGTATGCCTGTAAAATTTCAGATTTGGTTCATACGCCCTTCTGATATAACGCCCTCGATATTTTCGAAATGCAGCACCCAAACGGTTTAAGTTTTCTTTATAGAATGCCAAGATTTGCCTAGATATTTCATTAATTTTAATAACAATGCACCACTAAACATAACATACAAAATTTGGACCACTTGAAAGAATATAAATAGAAAATAATAAAATTAGGTTTAACAATAAAAGCATTACAGTCCAATCATAATGGTCAGTATGACATGTAGCTTAACGTGGCCTATACAGGGTGCCTGTAAAAGGTCTAGACAATATTCTACCACATATTCTGCGGGCCAAAATGTAATGATATAATCTAAGTTACCTTAGTCCAAAATTTGTTACTTAGTTCAAGATTCAATTTCATTTTAGTTTTTTTTCAATAACTTCATTATTAATTCTATTAAAAATATAAAAAGCTACATATAGCACAGTTTTTCGTTTTCTTCTCATCTTCCCAATTTTTTTTTGTAATATTTACTGCTCTTGGCCGTTAACTTCTACATTCATGGCATTGTTGACCCCTTGGCCTTTTAATTTTTTCTTGTTAACTCCTTGAATTTACACATGCTCCAAAATTTTAGAACCAGTTGGGACCAGTCCTATAACTGGATAACACATCCAAAAAATGCTTGTTCAAAACGAAATTTTCTAAATATACTTTCTAAGTAATTACCAAATTTTGGACTAAGGCAACAGATTAAATCATCATATTTTGGTCCCAGGAATATGTTGTCCAGACTTTTTAAAAACACAAGTATACACCAGGCAGTAAATTCACCAGTCCATTTTTTGCATGATGTCTATTTATAATTAAGAACGTTATCTGCAGTATATGAATGGAAAGTACATACAAATCATTTTTTTTTTATTTATTTTAGTGATCCTTATGTAAGAATTGATTTAAATACAATTAATGGAGATGAAACAATTGATTCTGTTCTTACGAAAACAAAGAAAAAGGTAAGTTAAATTTCTATTTCTAATACACAGACCCACAAAAAAAAATAAATTGAAAATACCAGAGATTAGACCCACCTATCCTTATGTATTTTGACGCGCTGAAACCGAATCCGGAGTCACAATTGCTCCATCACCCTCCAGTTTTTTTTAAATCGCCCAAAACTACCCCAAAGACAAGGAAAATCTTCAAATTATCGCTTGAGCATGAGTCCGAAGGTTGAGATAAACGTGAGAACCAGCACTATAAGACTATTTTATATGTATTTTGACGAGCTAAAACCGAATCCTCAGATAAAATCCCTGTTTAGAAAATTCAAATTTACCGTAAATGTAGCATAAGTCATCTTTATTTAAGACGTTAAGGAAATGGAACGCCGGTACCAAGTACGATGGGATGTTAATATGATGGCAGATTTTTGTTGGATGCTTAAAAGGGAATCCGAGCCAAATAGCAGAAAAAGAAAAAGTATCCAATACACAGATCTTTTGAAGATAAAAGAGTACGATCAAAAAAAAGAGAGAATGTTAAGATCCGAGACAAACACGCGATTTTCCGTATTTTTGGGATGATTTTCGCGATTTAAAAAAAAATTGAAGGGTGATAGAGCAATTTTGGCTCCGGATTCGGTTTTAGCTCGTCAAAATACATATAAAATAGTTTCATTGTGCTGGTTCTCACGTTTATCTCAACCTTCGGACTCGTGCTGAAGCGAGAATTTGAAGATTTTCCGTGTTTTTGGGGTAGTTTTTTGTGATTTAAAAAAACTGGAGGGTGATGGAGCAATTTTGGCTCTGGATTCGTTTTTAGCTTGTCAAAATACATATAAAATAATCAGAAGTCGCCTGTGGAATGAGGTCGTCAGGAAGACGCCCCTCCTGCAGGCAGACACTGACAGTATTTCTCCCCGGTTTGCATTTGACAAACCCTACACCGTACTCATTAAGAGACAGGAGGAGACCGCCCGTGGAGATGTAATTAGCATCTTCACAGACGGATCAAAAAGGAAGGAGGGTGCAGGATGTGGAATATACTCTAGATCCCTGCACATCCGATATCAGTGGGCAATGGATAGGCATGCTACCGTTGTACAAACGGAGTTAGCAGGCATAACCATAGCCGCGAAGGAAATTGCCCGCAGACATACTACGGGCAAAACTATCGGAATCTACACGGATAGTAGACAAGCACTACTGACCTTGCGTAATCATAAGATAATGACTAGGACAGTATGAGAATACCATGAAGCACTAGTTGTGGCCTCGGCCGCTAACAGCATATCTGTATGCTGGGTAAAGGGACACGAGCAGTGCTGTGGCAATAAAGAAGCTGACAAGCTAGCCAGGAGCGCATCGGGCCTCAACATTTTTGGACCCGCCCCCTCCAGTGTGTTTCCGTTGTCGGCACTTGTTGGAATTATCAAGGAAGACACCCACAAAGAATTTATGAAACAGTGGGATGAAACAATCAGCTGTCACTTTGCTAAGGAGTTCTTAGTGTATCCTAGCAAAGACACAGCCAAAAAATACCTGGCTATGTCTAGGTCAAATCTTCGCCTGGTGACAGGTATTCAAACTGGACACTGTTGGCTAAGGAAACACCTTTACAATATGGGGAAGTGTGAAACACCTCTTTGTAGGGGCTGTGAACAGGAAGACGAGACGGTGTTGCATTTACTATGTGAATGCACTGCCGTCTCGTCAACAAGAGAGTCCATGTTGGGAGAACGCTGGCCTTCAACGGCCTATATAAGAGAGAGACCCCCCTGAGCAACGTCACCACCTTTTTTACTGTAATAGGCTGGTTGGCGGCTCAGGTGGATTGATCTCTCTAATGGGAGGATGTACAAGGGGCCCAATGGGGCCTAAGTGCTGTAGCTTTGCTACCCTCCCCACAATTCCAGATTCCAGACATATAAAATAATCATATTGTGCTGGTTCTCACGTTTGTCTCAACCTTCGGACCCAGGCTCAAGCGAGAATTTGAAGATTTTCCGTGATTTTGGGGTAGTTTTTCACAATTTAAAAGAAAAACTGGAGGGTGATGGAGCAATTTTGACTCCGGATTCGGTTTCAGCGCATCAAAATACATAAGGATATTTGGGTATAGTCTCTGGTATTTTCAACTTTTTTTTTTTGTGGGTCTAATTAATGAGAGTACCTTTAAAAATTCAAAAAAAAATGATTAATATCATACAAATTACTTTTCAACTGTTATTTTAAATATGAATTATAATTTTTCAGACGCTTAATCCAGAATGGAATGAAGAATTTATATTTAGGGTAAGTAAAAGATATTACGGATTGCAATTATTTTTTTATTATGAAATGTGTAGGTAAAACCAGCCGAACAGAAGCTGGTTCTTCAAGTATTTGATGAGAATAGGCTGACTCGAGACGATTTCCTTGGTATGGTGGAACTATCCCTAATTAACCTACCAAAAGAACAGGAAGGTAGAACTTTACCACCAGCTAAGTATTTGCTGCGCCCTCGAAGGTAATTACAGTTCTTAAAAATGAGTTTATTGTTAGCTTTTTTGTTCGTTTACTGTTGTGTCGGCCATAATATTATTTGTATTCCTGGATTTAAGTCAGTAAGGCACGTGGTAAATAAATCAATTTTAAAATACAGCTTTCGCTCATCAGTGTGCTGAATTTGTGTTTTCCATTGGTTATAATGTCTACTGCATGTGAAGGTGACGTACACTAGCAATATTCTTAACAAGTGCGAGGTAGAAGTGTTTTAATGCTGACTTAAAAACTTTTTTTATCGTTTATTAAAAACTTAATTCACAGAGTCTTGCGAAAGTTTTTTTCTACAAACATCTTAATAATGTCAATAGCTATTTTAGTAAAGAAAATAGTTAATTTCCTTAGTTGTCAACGTCGGCATAATATAAAGTCTTCCATGAAAAGGCGCGATATGACGAGTATTCCATGAGTGTAACGTTGGTTACTCCTGATTACATGTAACATGCATGTAAGTATTAAATACTAAACTTACTGCGTTAGCCTTTAAAATACAGAAATTGATTTATAGCAAGGTAGGGTATCACAAAACGTGGTGTTAAATGTGGTTTATGTTAGGAGGAGCCTTAATATTTAATAATATGTACATCTTTCTGCCAAATCAGTTGCTATATCAAGATGTTTTTGTACAAATAAGAATTTTCAAATTAAAATCACAATTGAAAATCCATATACAGTGTAGGAAAGTACCGATGGTCTATCAGAAGTTACGTGAGAGCGATAAAGTAAGCCATAGAAATCCATGTGATAGACAAGGATGGCTATAATGAAGGCATCTAATAGTCAACGCCCATTTCGCCCTTCCACAAATAAGATCCACGGTCTCTCCTCGCGAGTCTCGCAGCGACGAGTACAGGGGCCCAGAGGGCTCCTTCGTCTTTCCTTTATCCGAACGTCGTATTCTGAAGGCGATCTGTTCGCGCCTTCTATGTGAAATTTTCACTTTAAAAGAGTCCTCGCCGAAAACTGACTTTTTTCGGTGGGAGTGATATACCCGAAGTATATCCGATATTTAAACAGAGATGGAGACAAACGTCAGTGAAGACGTCAAAATAAATTTTATCATTTGACGCGTTTTCTTGGACGATCGGGCCACGATGAATCGTTACATTGCCGTTAAGTATCGGTTCCGATCTTTTAGAGGCAACTTTGGCGACAAAACTTGATTTGAACATTTTCAATTTTCTGTTTACATTCGCGGAGAATCAACGTTTCAAATAACCCGTGCAGGCTTCACCCAACGTTAGATCGCCGTAGCTCATTTTATAAACCCACGACTGCGAAGTCAAAGGTCCGGGGTTCAAATCGCGAGTGGGCGCATTTTTTCTTTTTTTTTTGGGGAAAATTTTATATATTATTTACCAACCCACAGAGAATGCACCGCGGAGCGGTGCTCGAGTCGCGCGCAGCGTGGCCCGAGGACCGAAGGCCCGAGAGAAAGGTCAAACTTCACGTCTGCGAAGTTTGCCTGCCTTTCTAGTTATTATTAAATTATGTTAGTAGAAAAAATGTGATTTTTTGTTCTAACTGTTGAAAGTCTTGCTTTCGGAATTCATGTATTTAGGCCAGGAAATATAGAGTTGGACGTGACTTTTTGTTTCGGCAAGCTGAATTTATCACTATAGATGCTAAATATTATGTACAATAACATATTAGTTTCCACAGTCATAAAAATGGGGGGGAGTATTGTTTACAGGCTGGTTAATAGTATAATTTTTACGTAAATTCACGTTTTTCGCTTATAACTTTTTCCGTTCATTTCCACGAGAAAACAGTAAAGTACTATTTTTTTTGTCTTCAAAAGACCTATAAAACTACCCCTCGAGCATCAAGAAATATTGATTAGATCAAAAGTTATAAACAGAAGTTTATTTATGACTTGAATTAAACATTTACAAACTGCGTTATTATTACCAGAACGTTTTGGCATCGCATCCTCTCATTCCTGATCACTGTCTAATAACTCGCACGAAATCTGGAATGGGTAAGTTGAATAGTTTACAAGTTATGGGCGTATAAACAAATTAACTAATTATTAGTCTGGACGATCCCGAGCATCTTCCACAATCATAATAATTGAAATCTATATATTTTTTTTTTAAATTTCAAATTTGCAACCTGGAGTTTTTTATTTTTTAGCCTTAGTTGCAAAATGAAATATACGCGCGTGATATAGTTATATGGCTCGAGGGCTAATTTTGTAGGTCTTTTAAAACGAAAAAAAAGTACTTTACTGTTTACTCGTGGAAATGAATGAAGAAAAGCTATAAGCGAAAAACGTGAATTTACGTAAAAATTATACAATTAACCAACCTGTAAACGATCTTCCCCCCATTTTTATGACTGTGGAAACTAATATGTTATTGTACATAAATAATATTTAGCATCTATAGTGATAAATCCAGCTTGCCGAAACAAAAAGTCGCGAAATGGTCATTTCCCAGCTCTTTTTAGAATAGTAAATAGTTTATTAGCTTGGTTTGCAGGCTGCTGTGGCAGTTAATGGCTGGACAATTTCCACGCTGGTCTTTTTATTTTCTTATCTTCTTTATCTTATTGTTAATGTTTGGAGATGCTGTTGCTGTGAAATGAAAGTAGTCTGTCCTTGACACAAAGATTGGGTGCATAATATAAATAAATTAATTTTTTTTACCAATTCGCTTATTCTGTAAAGTTTACAATTTTGTTTATCGTTTTTTCACAAGAATAGCACTCTATAACTTTTGAATTACAAGTTTTTGATAGATTTTTATTTGAAACATTTGCACAATCAAATAGATACTACTAAATATTATGAATTAAATTGTTATGCGCTTTCTGTTTAAATGTTTGAAGTTCTGTGATATGAAATAATTTCAATGAAGGGAAACATTTTTATTGAATAATCGGAGAAATATCTTTCCAAAACAACTCAATTTATAAAAATTTTAGTGAAACCTGTTAGATTTACTAGAAAAAGGAATGGACGTATTAGGTAGTTATTCAGAATATCATTTACATTTAAGAAAGTTAATTTATCAACCTTAGTTTTGGATTTTTTTAAATTTAATTTGGTCACACAAAAATGTAAAGGAAATAATTTAAAGATGAATAAACAATCCCTCGCTACAAAACAAATAAATAAAGCTCGTGACATTTGCATGAAATAAACGTCACAACTTGTAGAGTGTGTTATTTAAAAATCATAAAATTCGGTTAAACTGGAAGGTGTGCAACAGTTTAGTTAAGGGAAGGGGGGAAACCACATTAGAAGGCTGATTTTCAGGCGTTTCTTATGATTTTTTTTGAGCGGGACAAGTTGATTAGAATTTTTATAAAACTTTGACATTATTTTATCGATATTTTGAAATACATTTACAAATTTTTTCAAGTCATTTGTGTTGAACATGCTGAAGTTATGGGTTGTCGTCGTCCGAGTTGGTTGTTTACGGGAAATGTGGAGGTCACAATTTTGATGTTAAAGCAAATTGGTTGTGTTCCTGCATTATTAACTGTTTTCTAAAAATATGAACCTCATTGTAGGTAAAAATTGTGAAAATTGAAGTTTTGACACGTGTTTGAAAAAAATTTATCGATATTCACCATTTTTTTTTCACTTATTTTAAATAAAAAACGTCTTAAAATTATAATATCATCCTAATTGTTGGTTCATGTCCTTTGTAATTTTATAAACAAACACACTTTCAATTTTCATAAAGATCAGTTCATAACTTTTTGAGCTAGAGTTCCCGTGATCGAAATAATGTTGAAAAACGCATTTGAAAATTTTCACAAACTAGAAATTTGAGAAAGTTATCAATAATGTAGAGTGACTTCTAATCAATTAGCGATTATATAACAGTCTTCCTCATATGCATCATTTTGAGCTTGCATCTGTTCTTCTCTTGCTTAATAAGTAACTAGACTACCTGAATAAGCGCTCCGCTCTACCTGCTGAGTGCTAACCCCATGGGCATTAGGTTTTAGGTTCTTAAAACTGGAAGTAATAGGAATTTTGTTTTGAAATTTTTGCAGCGCATTGAATAGTTATAACTATTTATGCAGTAAAAATAAATCCGATTTTTTTAACCTTCCCTCTTAATACCCTTTAATAGTGTCTAACTATAAAAAATGTTTCAAATACAAATCTATCAAAAACGTATATTTCAAAAGTTATAGAAAATTAATGGCAAGAAATAATGCACAAAGTTGCAAATCTCTTACACACAATTGATTTTACAAAGTAAGCAAAGAGGAGAAAAAATGTTCAAATTTTAAATCTCCATACAATACATCTCACTTTTATTTTAAGGATTGAAACATTTGACTAACAAGGAAGGTTATCGAAGTGTCAGTCACTTATTTCAATGAAACTTTGCTATGTTGTAAAGGACAAAAAAATATGAGACACATATATTTTTTTTTTCTGCGGATAAACATTTTAAAGGGGTAAAAAGCACCCCTAAAATTTACCCCCAAAAAGAGTTTTTCCAAGAAATCTCTGTGTTTGTACAAAATGTTTTCAAAATCAATTGGAGATTGTTTATTAGCTATAGCCGATATTATAAAATTTTTTTTTATAGAAACAGATTGCTTGAAAAAAACTGTTTTTGGGGTACACTTTAGAGATGCTTTTTACCCTTTCATTTTTTGTCTGTGTCTCGTTTTTGTTTTGTCCTGCCCAACATAGCGAAGTTTCATTGAAATCGGTGACTGACACTTCAATAACCTTCCTTGTAAGTCATTTACAATCTTTTACTTTCTATTGTCAATGTTATTACAGCTTGACTAAATTCATTTTGTCTACGAGTTCGAAGTAGGGGTGACAAAGATAGGAAACCTTAATAGTAGGCCAGGTACCTTCATGCAAAATTTTACTTAGGTCTGGTAAATAAAAATTTAATGAAGGTTTTAATATTATAAATTTAAATATATGAGCAAATGTCACTGCACATCCAAAACTCATGAGCAAGATGAATTTTCTCAAGCTGCAAATGTCACTTAAACTATATAAGCTTTGTCCTGGGAAATACTGTTGCTGCATATGAATTGCTACATAAAATTGATACTTAATTGTTGCATGCTGGCGATTCGAAACTTACTCAACGTAGCGATTTTAGTGCTCGTTCAAGAGTTCGGGGTCATCTGGAACTCTATCATGCTTTCCTTCACGACACTAGTTTGCCGCCGATAGCTGCTCCCGAAGAACCAGTGATGGATGACAGGGAATGGGAAATTGTCAGTGAAAGTAGGGAGGAATCCCCCGCCCAGGTATCATCTGTAAAATGATGTCTTTTTGCTGATAATTGATTACCATTACGTTTTTACAGCCTATATTTATAGCTCCAGAGAACCAAACACCGCTACCACAAGGGTGGGAAGAGAGGCAAGATGCAAATGGCAGAACATATTACGTCAACCATATCGCCAGAACTACGCAGTGGGAGAGGCCAACGTTGAGGTACATAGTTATAAAATTAAAATTACTAAACATTCCTTGTCAAAAGTCGGTATATAATAAGTTTTTTTGTACAATTTTATAATACAAAAAAGTATTTTATAATGTGGTTAATATTTTAGCAACACTAACTCTGCGATCAGAGCTGTTGAACGCGAAGAACAGAGGGAGGTATTTGAGAGAAGGTTCCACATAAGCGCTGATGAAGACGCAAATAATGGTCAAGGTGACAATACAAATAACACAAATCAGGTAAATTTTCGGATAACCTTCCATATGCACGTACTAAATACTATATATTTATGTTTAAGTGGTAATATTTGGTGGTTGGTACATTTCCTCATTTCACTAAACACAATTTCACTTCATATAAAACATAAAAGTTAACGATTTATGTTAATTTCTTTTTCGTAATTCTTTTTATTGAAATTAAATTATATTTTATGTATTTTCTTTTGATATACAATTATATTTTGTAGCCTTGATTAGTAGTAAATTTTTAACATTTTAGTCAAAATTTTATAGTGTTAAAAAGTTATAAATTATCAAAATAAGAGAAAAAGAACACTAACAGATCTACAGGCTTTTAAAGGATAAATTAAAAAGTTTATTTTATTTTACCACAGCTCCTGTTAAAATGTATTTTTCATAAAGTTTTTCAATACCTATGTTAAATTTTACATAAAAAAGGTACTCTTGCTTGAAATAAACGGACTGAGTTTTTGGAAAAAAATAAATGTTTGCACTTATGAAAAAAAAAAAAAAATTTAATGGTTGAAATTTGTTTCTTAAGAATTGTATAAAAGTAAAATCATTTTTTCATTACGCATTGATCAGTAGGCTGGCGGTTTGAGCTAGTTTTTGAATCGCTATTGGTGGGACTGTCCATTTGATCTGTGGACGGACAACCATAAAGCAGTTGTACTACAGGTAAAGTAGGTACCTTTTCCACGGATATGGTAGGATGGAATAATGTTAATTGGGAAATATTGAACAGTGGAAATTAGCCTATCCTGCTAATTAATGAGTTTTTGAAGTTTCCCTCATTCCTGAAATGAATGGTAGAATAATTGGATCCTGGGTGTGAATTCTGTCTACTGGATAATAATATGCTGTCCCCTCTTCCAAACAAGTCTGCATGCTATTTCTGAACAAACCATTTGAGAATGATTTTTGATATAATAAGTTATTATAAATATCTAAACAGCGATTGAATTTGTGGATTTAAAAAAGAATACCTCTTTTAATATTCAGGCAGACTTTTGAAAATGCTGAAAATAAACATGTTAACAATGGAAAATCTCACTCTTACTAAACTACCTTTTCTGCATTGCATATAAATTGTATTACGAGTTTGTCAAATTTTAAGTAAGATTTAACGTGGGTTTGAAAAATTTAATAAAAACAAAAAAAAAAAATTGTGAACATCTGTGGAAAAAAATCAACTTTCCATTGTTTGAGTGACTGGCTGTAGCTCCATTTATATGGGTATGTCCATAGAAACCTTTTCTCTTAAGACTAGAATTGCCGGTTTGTTACACTACTTTTTTTGACATCCTGTATAACGCAGATTTTTAGTGCAAACTTTTTCTTACTCTTATTATTATTATTATTTTAATGACTCTAATTAAGGCGAGTAAAACCATGTAAGCTTTGAATTGCTGTCTCGAGCAACCTACTCTCCAAGTTAAGTTTGTTGCACATTATGTTTTATCTAGGGCTTAAATTGTGCTGAAAGCTAAAAGATTACCAAAAGGAAAAATTCAACCATATCTCAAATGTTGTTTTCTTTGCCATTACAGGATACTCTAGTGATTTTTAGATAGGTGATGCATAGGTAAAGTAGATAAAAAATATAGAACTTTTTTAATTGACTATTACTTATTATCATTAGCTAATATACAGGATAAGTCATGAAGAATATTGCATACTTCTGCCTCAGATAGACTTCATTAACGAGAATATCAGATGACCATTAAAAAGTACCTACTACAGGGTGAATTTTTTGATTTTCTGAATACTTGACAATGTCAGTCGAATGACAGCCAACAGTGTACAGTTTCACCAAAAAAATTAGGGAATTTGAGCAAATCATTCAATAAATGACCCTGTATGTTAATAAAAAAGGGAAGGAGATGCCTTTTAAAGGTTATTTGATGTTCTCGTTGATGAACTCTGTTTACAGTAGAAGTATGTAAAATTCCTCGTGATTCACTCTGTATGATGCAAAGAACTTCTCCAAATAAACTGGACAAGATTAATACATCAACAAGGGTTCTCATTACTACTGTTATTTTTTTTTTTAAATGTTAAATCATTGTACCATTAAATGATTTTAACTAATATTTGTCAAATTAGAATTTTATTATTGAAAAAAAAGCATGAATAAATCGCAGAAAGAAATGTCAAATGCAATGAAAACGTGTCAAGGAAAAGCTTTAAAAAAATTGAATGTGAAATTAAATCTTAAAAATTTGAATTCGGTAGCATATAGATCCTCCTCTAGCTCTTATCATTGCTTCCATTCATCTGAGCATGTTATTAATTAAGTGGTAAATGGTTTCTCGGGGAATATTTTACCATCCGACCATTCGACGAGAACGACTTGTTCGACTTTTCCAAGATTTGTAGTGGTCGGTATATACCCCAACTGACCACTTTAGTGCACCTTATAGATGCTCTATGTGGTTCATATTTGGGCTCCTTAGTGGCCAATCCATAGTTGGAATATTCACAAATCAAAATTAGTCCCTTGTTTCGTCTGAAAACAAACCTTGCTTCTTGCCGTCAATCATCCAGGTTACTTGTTCCCTTGCAAAACAGAGTCTAGTAACTCTATGTTCCCTGGTGAGCAGCGGTGCAACAATTGGTCTACTGTCCAATCTTCCTTCATTTAAGCTTTCTCCTGACCATTTGTCTAGAAGGGGTTCTGCTTAGCTCTAAACTGGTGGAACATCTGTTTTCTTTATGGTGATTTGTATAAGATATCGCTTATCTCTCACATCTATAAATTTCTTAAGACCTTGTCCTGGTATTCTACAGTAACTTCCAAATTGCTGAAATATTTAACTGTTTAACTAATTGTTGATTTTCTATCTCCTAATAAATTAACCACATGGTGCTGGCTACATCCTTGGTAACTAGAGTTACCGTTTTCACTGCTTTATCTCGTAAATTGTAAGGACAATTAATATTTTCTATTCTTAAGTCTATTGGACATTCACTTAATGGTTTTAAATTTAAAATAAGTAGGTAATAATGAGAAGTTCTGCTGATACCTTAATTTTGTCAGCAGTGAATATAAACGCCCCTATATTCTCTTATGATGAATTTTGTTTGCTATTAAATACTAGAAAAAACTATGAAGAGTGCTGCATTTGCATCATGGCTTATCTTTTTCAAAACTTTCCAGCAATTGGTTTCATATAGGGAACACATTCATTATACATAAATCACTAACCTTATTAACTACAGTAGACTTGCATGGGCATTTTGTTTGCATGCTCATCAGGCAGATACTCGTGATACAGACGCTGTCGAGACTACAAACATACCCGAAATTCGAATTGAACAAGATATCACCAACGACAATAACCTCCCAAACAGGAACAGTTTACGATCTGATATATCCGATACCGACTATAATGCATCCGCCGAAAGTAACGAGAGCAGTCGCAGGAGTTCAGTAGATGTGCCGCATTACCAATTGAACCCCCAAAATATAAATAGAAATCGTGGAGGTAGTAGTGAGGTCGATTTTATCGATAGCAATTCAGAGGTTCGTAAGCTTGTGCTTGAGTTTCGGGTTTAGATTCATTCAAGTTTGTTGTGCTTGATGTGTTGTCTTGACATTTTGTGTTCATTCTTCATTTCTCGATCACAATATACGTAATGCATCTTTGAAGTAGATATTTATAGCTTACAAATATTCCGCTCTCGAGAATAGGATTAACAGAAAATTAATATACATACTCCTTCAAAGATGCTAATTTTATATATTATTTAAGAAATCATCCCATAAATCTTTTTCTGTACCATAAATATAATTTAATACTACTAAAACTTGTATTGTTTTAATGAGAATTTGAATGTGGTATTAGTCAGTATACAGAGTGTACTAGAAAGGTTGGGGCACTGCTCAATTACAGTTATTTATGTTATTTCCTGGGGTCGTCATCTTTTGGCCAACTCATAACTTTTTTACATCTGTACAATACTAATGAATGACCATCTATTTTTATTTTTCAATATAAGGTTGTTTTCGAAATAATTTTATTTGCTGCAAAATTTGTTTTTTTTTCCAGTTTTGATATTTTTTTTGTAGGATGCACCGTTTTTGAGGAAAAAATGTAAAACATATTTTATTGCAAGTTGTGTATTTTTAATTTCTATGATACATTATCTAGTATGTTGCTGTCAATATTTTTGAATAAATTACAACCATCAAATATCGAGTTAATATCATTAAAAGTCTGAAATAATTACTGAAAATAAATTAAAAAATTAAAACTTAAACACTGTATTTAGGAAATGAAGCATATTTTGACCTACGCTTATATGAACTTTTTTTCACAAAATAACTTCGACAACTACTCGCTAAAATATTTTGCACTTATTTTCAAACACCCTGTATGTATAATCGCTCCTCCACATATAGGCACAGCCCATGTTTTGGTACATTTAAATCAGAAGATTTTACTATTTTACTCAAAATTTGTAGAAGGTAACAAGAGACAAAAATTCTTTTAAAAACAATTTTATATCAAAAAATGTAAGTTTTATATAGCCATTGGCATAGGAATAGAAAAAATTATGGGATGGTCAACCAGGTGGAGCCTCAAAAAAAAACATGTCATTTTTTTACGTATTCAAAAAATATGTTACATTCAAAGAGAAAGATGTGTAGTGTGTGTAGCATATAAGGAGTCCCCACCTAAACAAAGGGGCTTTAATTAAGTTTGCAGACAAACATTAAGGGACAGTTCTTTGAGTCATGTAAAGCCAAAGAAGTTTTAGAATATTGTCCTGACAACGATAATATTCGAGATACACAGTGTTGAAATTAAAAGAAAAAACCTTTACTAAAAATCTGTGAAGATGCATAAGGTTTAGACTAGTGACTTATCTAATTGAAAGAAAAAATCCACTCAATTTGTATACAGGGTTATCCAAAAGTCCCGGTTTCAGACAAAAGTGTAATTGTATGTGTATTTTTCCCTGGCTATCTGATGGTGATCTTGGATTTGGCCTTGACTTTGACCTTCAAGGTCATTTGAAGGTCAAGTTAAGTTTTTTGGATTTGGAAAGAGCTGAAATTTAACCTTCAAGTACGACCTTAAATATGACTGACAATGACCCTCAAGATTATGTCAAAGTCAGGTTAATTTATTTAGTTTCAACATTCTGAATTAAATATCTTTGGGTATATTTTAGAAAAGTTTTTTTTTTGTAATTGAAATCTGTATCTTGAAAACTATTTTTGTGGATTCATGTTTATATAACGTTTTTGGATTGATATCACTCAAAGAATTGTGCCTTAGTTTGTATAACGCTCTGTAGGACACAGTATGTCTTGACTTTTGTAACATTATTATATAGGCAGTCGGAGCCCCAATCTTTCTGGAAAGCTCTGTATTTGTAATTGTTGGATCAGTTGTGCATCGATTCTATCTACTTCAATTACAATAGTGTTCGAATTTCTACTGTACCAACATTTTAAGGATTTTAAAAAACTTTTTGGTATTAGTTTTGCAATTTTTTATTTTCATTTCTACTATATAGCTTATGTTAATACATTCCATATCCACCACATCTTAAAATAACATATTTGTGTAATTCAAATAAAATATTTTTTGTCAAAAATTGACAATGAAAAATTTAATAAATTTAACCTTTTTTATTAATTTTCATATGTATTTCTTATGGCTTGTTGATTTTAAGACAATGGTGAATATACCCCGCACAAAAATTGCGATCACCTTCGAATTTTGTTTGCATTAGAGATTTTCATTCACCAGTCCATTTTTCTTAAAATTGTGCTCATTTCAGAGTGACGATCATGTAGACAGCTTATCTAATAATTCATCTAGAAGAAACTCGACGGTATCCTCCACAACGAGCAATAGCAATTCACAAAATAACTTGGAGGGCCTCGCGGATGGTCTACCATCTGGTTGGAGCATTCAGAGAGCACCCAATGGTAGATTGTTCTTCATTGATCACAATGAGCGGACGACGTCTTGGGTTGACCCCCGAACAGGTAGAGCTAGCCCTATGCCTAATCAAGCTGCCACTCCGGTGGTAAATAAAAGACCCGATGACGATCTGGGGCCTCTACCTGAGGGTTGGGAAGAAAGGGTGCATTCGGATGGAAGAATTTTCTTTATCGACCATAGTAAGTTATAGTGTACATGCGTTATAAATAAAAAAACACTTGAGATGGGTTGTGTCCAGCTGACAAGACCGCAAAAGTTACAAGGTGTGGATGTTTCGATACTCAGAAACTTTTGAAAATTCATTTCTCAAAACCAACAGTTTTCACAGCCAACATCTACACTGTAATTCCGGATTGGTTACCACGTTGTTAATTTACAACTCTTGACGTTTTGAGAGACATATTGCTCTCTTCTTCAGAAGTTACTCTGAAACTGGAGATCTACTAATCTTGTCACTATTTATATTTGATGTGGTCACTGATCCATGACGTTCTGGTGGGTGACCTCGTATGCGTTGTTGACGTTCCAGTAGGTTGCTTTCATGGATGACTCTCTTCCTTATACCTGGCAGATCCACGCCACTGTCCCTGTTGAAACTGTTCGGATTTTTGTAAATTTCTAATGCTCTATTGTCAGGGCCAAAATCTTCTCTCTCTCTCACCACCATGTTGGCTTGCTCAGATCCACTATGTCTTCCATATCCGCCCTTTGCTCTGGTACTGCCGATTTTTCCCTGTTGTTATTTTTTAGGTGACTTTTGTGTTCCTTTAACCTCGTATTAATGTGATTTCCTGTTTGTCCTATGTAGACCTTTCAGCAAGAGCAAGGAATACTGTACACACCGGGGCCCTGGAGCTGGTCATTGTTGCAGGTCATTGGAAACACTGTCGCCACCTTCTTTACAGTCCCGAATACTGTGTTGATATTCCTCTTCTTCAAAAGATGCCCGATTTTATCTATACAACCTTTTACGTAAGGTAGATATGTCGTCGCTAAGTACTCCTGTTTCTCCAAGGGCGTATGTCTCCTCCTGATAGCTCGTTCGATATTTCTCGCCATGTAGCCAGTCCCTCTTAGGGCATGCGTAGGTGTTCTAGTTCCTTGGCCAAGTGTCTTGGCTCGCTGATGATCCACGCTCGATGAATCAAAGTATTTATGATCCTCTGTTTCTGGGCTGGGTGGTGGTGGGACTTCACATTCAGATATCTGTCTGTTTGAGTTGGCTTCCTATATACTCGATGTCCTAAAGTGCCATCTGGTTTCCTCAACCAAAACATCCAAGAAGGGAAGGATGGCATTTTTCTCTACTTCCATTGTAAACTGGATATCTGGATGTATCCCATTGATGTGATCCAGGAAATCCGCTATGGTGTTGCGTCCATGGGGTCAGATGATGAAGATGTCGTCAATATATCAGTACCAGCACTTAGGCTTCAACGTTGTGGATTCCAGGGCTTTCTTTTTAAAGTTTCTCGAAACATCAAGAATTGTAAATCGACGATACACGATACGATACACTAACAAAATTTTTTAATTTATGAAGGTTTTCTTAGATTGGAACCAAAATATCATGAAATCCAGATTAAATCTTATTTCCAAAGCTGTTGAGTTGGGATTTGGCACTTGGCTTAGTTTCCTTGAGATGAGGTCTCATTCGGTTCTCTATGATATCTGATTATTAAGATATGTCATTGAAATTAGTCAGAAAACTGGTTTTGAAGACCAATTCCACTCGTTTATTTGCAATTTTAAAGTTACACGTCCCATCGTGTTAGATGCAGACTTTAATTGAATACTTGGTTTGGCCCAATTGTTTCATCTGTTCAATAATTTTATGAACGTTACGGTGTCATAATTATAATTCGAATTTGACAGCAATTAAAATTATTTTATTTCAAAATTTTTAGATACCAGAACGACACAATGGGAGGACCCAAGATTATCCAATCCACAGATTGCTGGGCCTGCAATTCCATATTCCAGGGATTACAAACGGAAGTACGAATATATGAAAACGCAACTTAGAAAACCAGTAAGCACGATAATGACATTTAACATAAAATAGCAAGTGTTTCAAAAGACAATCGAGATGTTTTGTTTTAGACCAACGTACCAAATAAATTTGAAATCAAAATTCGCCGTCGAAGTATTCTTGAAGATTCTTACAGGGTAATCACGACAGTTCCAAGAATAGAGTTACTGAAAACCAAACTCTGGGTTGAATTTGAAGGTGAGGTGGGACTGGATTATGGCGGCCTCGCTAGAGAATGGTTCTACTTGCTTTCCAAAGAAATGTTTAACCCTTATTATGGATTGTTTGAATATTCAGCAATGTAAGTGAAATTAATTTTGGTATCAATTAATATTATTCTTTTTTCATTTGTGTTTGCATTGTATGTTTTTATTTTATTTAAATATACAGTATGGCTGCAGCAGTGGCGGCTCGTGGTATTTGGCAGAGGAGGTTTGAAATGAAAAACTTTAAACCGTCGCGGTGTAATCAAACGGGCACATTTCCTCACCACCCTTGAGGTAGTGCAATAGGCGCGCCATATTTTTTGAGTGTGTTGTTCGCCAGTAGCTCTATTATCCCACGTAATTAACGTAAAGTAAACATTCTTATTTTGTATAAAACATTAAATAATACTCATTTTTTGTAAATTAGCAATGAGTACAAAAACTAAAAGAAATTCAAATTTTTGGCAAATAAATTACATATTACAAATTAAATATTTTTATATAGCAATAGCAATCTGCGATTTTCTGATCCAAAATGATCAATAACTTCGTCATAAAATGAATTATTTTCTTCCAGTTATGAGAAATACCGTTTTTCTATGGAAACAACAGATATATTTGAGAGACGATCTTGAGCTATCGTATTTCTAGCAAAAGTCTTTATACGTTTAAGTACTGAAAATGAGCGTTCTGCAGAAGCTGATGTTATGGAAATTGTTGACACTAAAGAAAAAAGTTTATATGTCTGAGGTAGACAATTTATTATTTTATTATTCCAAATAAAACTTAGCATTTCTTTAGATGATGTTGAACTGCCTAAAACTTGTCGGTCGGAGTACAATACGCAAAGTTCATTCCACAATAACACGCTATCAAGTATCGGATATTGTTTTATTAAACTGTCCATTAAGTCATTCGGAAATAACTTGGAGAACAATGTAAAATTATCCGAATTTACTAAATCGAAGCATTGCAAACTATTTAAGTCAGAAAATCTAATTTCAGTTTGAACTATAACAGTATCTAAAATTTCACAAAAAAATTATTTACAATGAATATCAGTTCTTTCAAAATTACATGATCTTTCTTTTCTTTGAAACATATCAAATTTAATACGCGATGAAATATGTTCTCGCGATTTTTCGTGTCATTGGAGGCCTCTCGCAAAATTTTTTAAATTGTTAAAACCCACCCTGTCCCAAACCGATAAATTATCATTAGTGAAAAATAAACATTGCCAACAGTATAATATTTCTAATAGTTGATGCAGTTAATCAGTCATTTTTTCTATAATTATTATCGATAAATCCCCTATTTTGTTTTTCATCCACTGCAACTATAGACGGCAAATAAGGTGTTGGTCTCGATTTCTGTTTAATTATGAGTGTTTCATCATAACTGAGAGTACTAAATCCTTTTAATAATACATAATCTACAATGTCAATGCAATTAAAGAAGTTGTTGAGGTTATGTTCGTTTTCCGCACTCATTTTGTTTTAATAAAGTTAAGTACGTACCAGAGTAAAATGTAATTGATTGTTTTACTAATTAATTATGATCGTCTCACAAAAATTCTTAAGAAAAACTTCACTTAAACACCAGTTAAAAACAAAAACTCGCGTACACACAAACTACCAATGTTTTTATTATGAAATGCAACATTGCAACATACAACTGCGATCGCCGAGGTGGTATAGAAGGATTATACTGAAAGATTCGGTTGTTAAAAAGAGATGGAAGGTGGCAACAAGCCTCCGTGCTTGACTGGTTAAGCTCGAATATAGATATCGTGGCATCATTTCAACGTCACGCAGCGTATAGAATACTGGTAAAGGCTGGAGGCTTGAGAAAGCTGCCAGCGACTGTAATGCGAATTCGGAGGGCGCGAAAAATAGTGAATATTTAAAAATCGTATATTTACGTACTCGAGACCTCCCTTAGTAGGTACCTAATTGCATATGCAATAGATTTGTATGAAAATTTCTTAAATAATATTAATTATATGATGAAAACTTTTGGAATACTATCAAAAACTGCAGCTTCCTCTCGTGACCCGCACTGAGCTGCTGGATAAATGAAGTAAAAACTTAATATGTGATAGTATATACTGAAATAAAAAAAAATGGATAATCTGGGATCTAAACTTAATCGTTTTCAAGAAAATTATAGTTATATGGAACTTTATGAAAATGAAAATTAAGTGAAGGCAGACATATCGGCGGTGGACTATTATTTTTTTTATGCATAGATTTTGCAGTAGAAGTAGAAAAGCTTTAGATTTTTTTACATGGATGTTTATTTTGATATTCTGTTACATGTTGTACAATAACGCTAGCGCAGACTTGTAAATTGTATTCGTCGTGGGTGAATTAATTTTGAGAAATTTTTCAGTAGATGGCGCAACTTATGCTATATTGCATCAAACACTCATCATGTCAAAGCTCTATCATATTTTTCCTCAACTCCGAAGATGTCGAATTACGAATAACAAAAAACTATTTACGGGAAGTTTTACTTTTGCCATTTTAAAATGCCATTTTAAAAATTCCAGGGTAATTTTTTTATGTAACCAGTCATTTATGTACACTGACTGGTTATTTTTGATGTGACTACTATCACTAGTTTTATTTGAGTTTATTATTTTTAGGGATAATTACACATTACAAATAAATCCATTTTCTGGAGTATGCAATGAAGAGCATCTAAGTTATTTTAAATTCATAGGGAGAGTAGCAGGGATGGCAGTTTATCATGGAAAATTATTAGACGGTAATATAATATAAAACAAAACTATAGATTAACTGTCTGTATTAATTGAGGTTAATAATTGAAATCATAAAAAAAATGAATAAATTCTGTAACTTACATCAAAATTTCTAATTTTTTTTTTAATAATTCCAGATTATATACCTCACTGTAATAGATATATAATTTTCAACTTTATTATCGTTTTAGCGTTTTTCATCAGACCTTTCTATAAAATGATGCTGTCGAAGTCAATCGATTTAAAAGACATGGAATCGGTTGATTCGGAATATTATAAATCTCTTCTGTGGATCAAGGAAAATGATCCCTCTGATCTGGGTTTAACATTCTCTGTGGATGAGGAGTCATTTGGGCATACATCTGTTCACGAACTGATAGAAGGGGGAGCCGATGTACCGCTTGATAACACAAACAAGGATGAGTATATAAAGTAAGTACCACTTAGTCAAAAAAAAATTGTATGAATGTTTTTTGTAGTAATGATTGTTACCTATAATTTTTTTTAGATGTATAATACAGTGGCGCTTTGTCGGGCGAGTGCAAGAACAAATGAATGCCTTCTTAGACGGTTTCAGTGATCTAATACCTTTAAATTTAGTTAAAATATTCGACGAGAATGAACTAGAACTGTTAATGTGTGGTATTCAACATATCGACGTAAAAGATTGGAAAGGGAACACTTTGTACAAAGGAGATTATCATGCGAATCACATTATCGTTCAGTGGTTTTGGAGGGTAAGTTTTTCTATATTAAATTAAATAATACTTTTTAAATAACTGTTCGTCAAATAGTTTTATAATTATATTTAATTTCAGGTTGTTTTATCATTCAGCAATGAAATGAGAGCCAGACTGCTGCAGTTTGTAACTGGCACTTCAAGAGTTCCCATGAACGGTTTTAAAGAGTTATACGGGAGCAATGGACCACAGCTATTTACTATCGAAAAATGGGGCACCCCTGATAATTATCCCAGAGCCCATACTTGGTAAGTTATTTTATTATTTCTGAGTTCATGTCGTAACTTCAGGAGAGAGGTCATTTTGTACCAAAAAATCTCAATGAACTAAACTCCTAAAGCAATTGGTTTCCAAGTTGCAGGTTCTGTACTGAAGTTTCTGTACCTATAAAGTAGAGATTTCATATCTTAAATTTCATTGGTACTCATTGCCTACTGGCAGAGAGTGACCTGTTAATGTGTAGGTGCTATGAAAGTTTCATCAGTCTTATATTATACCTAACTACATTGTGGCAATATTGTGTTTATTTTTCTTATATAAAAGTGACTTACTAATATGCAGTGGCGGCTTGTCAGGTCACCTAAAATTTCCGTTTGATTGTGCAATTTAAACTTATTTTTAACATTGCCTTCGTTGAGTGCAAACATTAACCTCGTACCGTACAACGTTTAATATACGCAAGTGATGCAGATCGAAACAGTCTGAATTCCACTTCTCTTCAAAGCGTTATTTACGGCGGTTGTCATGGCAACGAGGCGGCCAACGTGGGGGAATGAGTGACGCAGATAATGAAGCAGCATTGTCATTGCCCATCGCCTGCCTTTAAACAGTTTATACCAAGGGTCGGCAACTGGCGGACCACGGTCCAGATCCGGACCGCGGAAGGAAAATACTGGACCGCCAAAAATTTTTTGAAGATATAAATTACTCAAATTATTTAAAAAATATTTTTTTACGTTTGAATGCCACCCTTATCATTTTTTCTAGTATTTTACAATTGTGACTGATTTGAGTTCTTAATGGTTAGTAAACAGATTAAACTTGAGTGCAAATGAAAATAAAAAAATTAGGAAGAAATATGAATTTTTTTCAAGACATCGTTAAAAAATTTCAAAAGTGTCGGGACCCCACCTAAAATTACTTGCCGACCCCTGGTTTATACGATACGTGTCGTAGTCCAGTCATTTTGTACATTTGGAAAAGAAAGTGAACCGGGAAAGTCAAATTTTTTATATGTTGTGGAGGGTGCATAGAAAAGCTTAACTTGAGATTTGAGACCAAGATTTCCTAGTGCATTTTCCGCCATCTTGGAAAAAGGGGTGAATTTTTGTTTTTGCTATAACTCGGTTCCCCGTCGAGATACAGAATTGTTGTTTCATTGTTTTTTGTTCCTCTTTCGACGATCTACAATTTAGGTCCTACAAACTTTTCACCTATTATTGTTACATGTTGAGATATCGAACAAAATAGTTAAAAAATTCAAAGATTCGATCTGGTTTTTCGGGGTTTTCTCTTTTTTCTTAATACTTATCGAAAAAATTTATATTATCAAACTTGTAGAGGATATTCGTACGAACAATTTAATACTTTTGTTTTTTCTCTAGGGTAATTATTGCGGGTTCTTCGCCTTATTTTTGGACAGAATGACTGGACTATCGCCCAGTGCACGATTATAATTGTTCTTAGTTAATATTTGTTTTGTGTAATAATTGTAGAAATGTTTTCTAGGTATGATTCAGTATGTATTTTATTGGAAAAGCCATTTTCCAGATAGAAAATTGAGGACAAACAGGATTTTTTTAAATTGCGAGAAACCTGTGCCTTATTCTATTGATATAGAAAAAAGGGGAAGTCAAAAGACAATGTGTACGTTCGGAAGTTTGGGAATGAATGGTATTGAGAGTATAAGTGATTGTGTGGAAGTGTTTATTTAAAAAAACTTTCCTGTATGCCGTGTTTAATTATGGGTGTAAAGTCGGGTGTGTGGAATAAGGGGGGATTTAACAATTTTGGCAAAGTCACGCTAGGCCGTCGTAATCACAAAGCTTCTTTAGAACATATATGTACGGTGTACGTTAATGTTCGAGAAGTTCACAAGCCGAACTAATATTTCTATTTTTTATAAAATCTAAATGAAAATCCTTCTCACGAACGTGGCAAATGCAACTAAAAATTTCCAAATTCATTTAAAGCCGTTTGACCTTGAAAATTTTCGCCTGCGGCACTTTTTTTTTCTTTTTGGTCAATCAATGAATATGCTTCACCTATTCTCAATGTCACGAGCGGCCACTGCTAATCTGTAGGTACCATGAAAACTCGACTAGTGTTTCTGTAGGTGAATTAAACTAATAAACTAATTAGGGGTTTATGAAAATTATCTCATAGCGATCTAGATATACGATTCTCTTTCTTTAAAATAACGAAAATTATAAACAATCTGAGTATTTGAAGTGAATTTTTGTAAACCCCTATTGTGGAAAACAATATCATCAGTCCGCAGAGTAGCTTTTTCCCGCAATATCGTTGGTTGAAGTATATTCAAGTATTTCTGAAAATATTCAACAAAATTGATATACAAACCTGTGGACCTTATGCCATAGAATTTCAATGTTACTGAACATTTTGGAAGTTGTATAAATTCATTTCATTCATTTTTTAATGTTTTGAAAGGAAAGAAAAAGTGACCCATTTTTGAGTCGTCTTTTTTTAATTTAAAATAAGCTTTATCACTTAGTAAATTAAAAATAAACTGTTTGTTTCATAATGTTTAATTTTTTTTATATGAAATACAATTTTAAATGCCACATAATATACTCAACAATTTCTTAAACATTTGGTAATTACGTCACATATAAAATTGTATTTTGAAAAAATGTTTGATTTTTGAAAAATTTATCTTTTTTTTTGTAAAATATTACTTTTGGAGTTATTTTTATCTTTTTAAATTTAAGAGTAATAACTGGAAAATGGTACCTTTTTTCTTAGAAATAACGTTACAAATTAAATGTGCTTATCCAGTTTGGAAAATATTCAGTGGTATAGAAATGGCTCTTAGTGGCTAGTGGTTCTTAGTGGCTATGTTTCTCAGTTAATTGTTAATTGATCTTGCCACTGTGTCCGCTACTAGTTGACACATCATCATTATCATCATCAACAGTTGTGAAACCATTTTTCCTCTTATGCCATTTTAAACCATATAGAATATTTGATATTTTTAATGTAATTCTTGTTCATCATTCAACAGTCCAATTGTATAAACGGAATTAAACATTTTAATTATCTTTGTGTTTATTGCAGCTTTAATCGCCTCGACTTACCACCTTATGAGAGTTATCAGCATTTAAAGGACAAGCTAGTAAAGGCAATCGAAGGTTCGCAAGGATTTGCTGGTGTTGACTAGTATTACGAGTAATCCTCACGTTAAGGAATTTTCATAAAAATCTGTCCATTACTTAAGAATTTTAGCTTCTTTAAAATCTATTCAATAGCATATTATATATTTTATATCTCTGTAAGTTGTTATTTTTATTCTGTATACTTTGTAAATAATATACATGTTTTAAAACTTTTACTGTAGTCCACTTTTTATAGTGCTAAGGAATATTATTGTTAATATCTACAAGAATTTTACCGCTCGTAAAATTTCTGGGAGTATATAAAATATACATACTTGTTGAAAAAGGTATATTATATTGTTTGGAAAGAAGCAATATAAGATATATTCGCATGCAAATAAAATCTCTTGATGTGCTTCTGGAAACTTTTCTGTAAAATAAAATTTAATCCTTTTTGTTTATTAATTTTAATGTACCTAATAAGAAAGGCAAACCTTTTATTATACGTTAAATTTCAGTTAAACATTTTTTAAATTGCCATCTTATTTTTCACTGAATTTTGCTAGTCTAAATGGATGTGTTAAAAATCAATACTTATATAGTTAGACAATATAATACTGGATAGCGACGCTCTGTAAAAATCATGTCGCCCCTGTTTACGGTGGTTTATAAATAAGGGCAACAGAGGTTTTTTTGAAAGAGAGTGATTGTCGAACTATGTAATTATGTAACAAAAACTTTACAGTAAAAGTAAATGCATCTATTTTATCGTAATATGTATAAAACTTATTCGGATCATATTTGTAATATTTGCTGTTTTCTAATTGTAGATGTTATATTTCTCTTACCGTAAAATATTACCGCTAATCGAAAAATTTAAATTGGTGTTTTGACAATTATTAGCTGTATAATTCAATGAAGTCGACATACTGTCTTTGCGAGTCTTGTGAGGCTGCTTTTTAACAGTTTGTACAATTGCGGTCAGTAGTATAAAGGGAAGTAAAAAAAATACATTTTTATCGTGGTACTTACAATAAAATATATTTTTATAAAATTAATTTGTATATATTTGTTAATTTCTCAGAACGTTCTGGTCCAAGTGTTCTTATTTAAGTGAGGATATTTAGGAATTTTACTAAATTTAGACAATATATTGTTTATTCTGTAACATTTCATTTTTAACATTCCAGCTTTGTTTAATGTTATAGGTATTTAATTAATATAAAATGTATAATTTAAATTAATATATTATGTGTATATATTATTTATCCAGTACCTTTTGCCTTTTGTGCTACATATGCTTCATATGTAAAGGATGAAATATATTTTAATATAGATTGTTTATTAATAATTATTGTAATAGTAGCCTTTTTATAGGCCATTGTATCATCACGTAAAAGTGAATACATCATTTTATTAAATGCTTTTTTTTAACCTTTAAACCTTTTGAAACTCATTTGAAAAATGATCCAAATGAAATTATCTTGCTCTATAAACTAAATGAATATTGTCATTAAGATAATTCAGAATATTCAACATATTTTGCAAGAAAGTCTTCCTTCTAAATGCACTTACAATTTTTTAAAATAAAATACTTTAATTTTAATAAGAAATATATTAATTCATTTAAATAATATATATATTTAAACTACCTATGTGCTATTCGATTCTGTTCTTACTTCTAAATCATTTTGAGTCTTTCTTCTCTGTTCCAATGCCAATACTAGTTTACGAACATAAGGATGCTGAAATTTACCTTCTGTAGCATCGAAGAATTCTTGCAATTTTCGTGGTTCTTTATCTCTGTGTTCGTAATGTGAAGCAGTGAATAACATATCAAATCTGTCCAAATCTTTCACGAACTTCGCTTCTGGAGTTTCTTTAGCCTCATATTCTTTGTACAAATTGTAAATTAAAGATCCTATTTCGCTTCCTAAATGTGTGGTTAATTCTTTCATTGCTTCATCTTCCATGGCATGTTTCTTGTCTTCGGGAATGTTGTCATGTGGAGTTATATCACCAACTATAGATTCTGCTAAGTCGTGTACTAATGCTAATTGCATACATTTAAATCTATCTAGTTTAGAATTGTTTCCTAATAGAAATGTCATCATAGCCATTGAATACATGTGACCTGCTATTTTCTCGTGATTATTTATTTTACATAGCTCCCATCCCCTTCTGGAGCTATGTTTAAGATTATTCACCAAATCTAAAAACTTTAAAACTTCCTCTGGGTTGAGAGATTCCATTTTTGTATATTTTATTTGCTGATGGTGTTGTACTAACGATATTAGATTACTAGAAGACAGTCTACGGATCCAAATCGAATATTGAAAATTTTGAATTGAGGTTAAGTATCAAAATATGGAGAGAAAGGAAGGGAACTAGAACAGAAATCACGTCGAGGTCATTACCCTATTACTTTTGATCTACTATCAGTAATTATTACTTTGACCTACTTGCATTACAGGGAGTCATAGGCGTCCACAGAATTAAGAATTACCGACAAGCGGCATGCCATAAAGGATTAATTTAGGTAATTATTTACAATAGTAAAATGTCCAAATCGTCACAAAAATTTTCTCTCACCCGTATTTTCGAGAGTGCTGAACACGAATCTGAAGTTATTTCTGTGAGGTAGAACCTATATACTTTTGGAATAATTTTTTTTTCAAAATTATAACAGACATTTCACACAAGACTTCGCACAACCACATACCTATGTGCCCACAACACTGTATTACTTTATGTAGCTTTCAAAACATGTAATGAAAAAAATTTCAAGTAAAAAAACAGATTTTAATAAATAAAAATAATATAGTAACCTTGTCGGATGAACACAGATGAATGGAGTGGAGGAACTTCAATAACATCACAAATTGCAAATGGTGAATTGAAGCATTGAAGCAAGAAATAATTTTTATTTAAAAAATACAAATGTTTTTACTTGAAATTTGCGTTTCTTAAACAATATTTCGCAACCCCACTTTAATTTCTTATAAAATGCAAAGGGCAGGCTTATCCTTTCAATTTAATCATATCAATTCCAATTTAGTTTCTAAATTTTGTAGGTACCTTTCTTTCTTAAGAAAATACAGATGGAGGGGACCTACTGTTTTTCTCGCTCACTAAGTATATAGCTTAAATTCAAAATATTTATAAGTTTAAAAACCAATTATACCTACAAATTTTGTGAGATTATTGTATAATACATACTCGTATATTAAGAAAAGATAGTCTGTTAGTATCTGACTTCAAATATTTGGGAAAAAAATAAAGTTATAAGTGCACAATAACTTAATTATCTTCTATAATCTGTGAACTTAAAAATGCACATCTAGATGCCAATGATTACTAATGATGAGTTTGTCACAGAAAAATTGTTTGAGGTTTGTGCAGTCATTTTGGCATAAAAACATACCTACACCACCTACAATATTATCTCATATTTTCAATTCTTTCATTAATAAATTTTAAGTACTACATATAAAAAATGCCCAGAAAAACTATTGGTAACATATTAATAATAAATTATTTATGTATTCCTAACATTTTTTCTTTTTTTTAGGGCCTGGACCAGGTAAATATGTACTGCCACCTCTAATCGGATTCAGAGATCATGATATATCAAAGTACAGAAATCCTCAGTATTCTATGGGGCAGAAATTACCCTTTGGAAAGAAACCCTTTGGACCGGGTCCATGTTACGATGTTAAGAATATGACTTCATATGGGAAAGCTAGCCCCCCTGCCTATTCCATGAAATCCAGACCGAAAGCAATAAGTTAATATACATATTTTTTATTTACCCCCTTAACGTTGTTTTTACAAAAGCATGTAAAAAAAAATAATTCTTTCATTATAAATTACATAAAAAAGCCCATAAAACAAAATATTAATATTTTAGGTACTTTCCAAGCACCCGGGCCTGGAACTTATCAGCCTGAAAAGGGACCAAGAATGATGGAACAAAGGCCTCCAATGTATTCTATGTCCTTTAGATATCCACCTCTAAAGAAATACCAGACCCCAGGACCGAATCAATACGAGGTGCCTTCAACGCTAGGTCCCAAGGTTCCAGACAAATATGCAAATGCTGCGTATAGTATGTAAGTATCTAACTACAGAAAGTAAGTAAGTTTATACCAACTTAAATTAATAGTTTAAGTCACCACAGTCAAAATTAATGAGTGAATTTAACTACTCTACTTTTTGTTCTCATTTTTTTAATGAGTTTTTTCTTTCATAACATGAATTATTTTTTTCAGGTCCTACAGACACAACCAAATTTCCTCAGAAAAATCACCTGGACCTGCTAAGTATAGTGGAATTGAAACAGATCTCTATAAAAATAAGTTACCTAATTATACAATCTCCCCACGTGTCTTCCCTCCCACAAGTGCTAGCGCCTCACCCGGACCCATTTACATGCCAAAATTACCTAAGAAACAAGGATACTCGTTTGGTTTAAGAACTGATAATGATCCATATATAACAGCTTCTGATGAAATGCCATGTGTAGAAAGAAAAAACAACTGTTAAATCTCAAACAAAAATAAACAATACATAAGGGTTTATTATTGTTATAATTTATCCCCAGCGTATTCACCAAATGTATAAATAAGGTCAATTTAAATGCTATGTCGTCCCAGGCTCGACTTTTGAGAAAAAATCGGTGGTGAAAACCACATCGCAATTTACAGTATGTTTCATTTTTCACTTATCTTGGTTATTTGAAACAGCAGCATTGTGATATTTTAGTATAAAATAATTATTAGCACATCCGATGCTAACATTATAAGTATAGAACTTTTTTAAAAATATGAATTTTTAAAAGTACCTAATTTTACTAACTAAAAGTTGAGGGGGGGGGGATGATGTCAAAATTAGACAAACTTTTCCTTTCGTAATTTGTTTTCTTTTTGACTTAGAACATTTTTTTTGCATCTAATATTTTCTCACGTTAATATTATTACTAGGGCTATCAAACCACAGGACATCAGTTATTAAAAAAGCAACAAATTAAATTGTCTAGATGTCTAGAATATACCACCATAAACAGCAACTGATAGGAATTAATTACATATCATCGATTCATCGCACAATAAAGTATATTATGTATATACGTAACATAAACGTACTTTCTGAGGTAGCGGCTCACGCATGTCTCGGAATACATAATTTTGTATGTGACGATATACTAGATATTATAAGCCCATCATCTCATAAACTAAGTAATAGTTACAAATATCAATATTCACGTCAAGTCAAAGAACAAAATGCGATAACATAACAACATTAATAATTGATCTTTTCTATAAAAATGGATAGGCTCGGTTCAATAACAGTGTCCAAGATCTCCAGACCTGATGGCAATGGGTTGTTGTGGAGGCACTGTTAAGAAAAGTTTATAAGGCAAAAAGGAAGCTGGTTAACTGAAATGGAGAGTATTATTTAGTCATTTAATTTTATTTTATTCTATCATTTTGTCTTAATTTTTTGTCATGCATTATTTGTTGTGAATATTTTGAGTAAAGGACCCCGCACTCTTCTTATGGGAAATGGCTTTCGGCCAATTTTTTTGAAACTTCGCAGGTTGATAGTTCATAACATGTAGATGAAGTCTCAATGGGCACAACCCTAAATCCACCCCATCCCCCCCAAAAACTGCCTCCAAGTAGCGGAGGGCTTTAACCGATTTCTGCATGTAAAATAATTTACCTACGACCACTACTGTAAATACTTAAAAACACACCGTCTGCGATCAATGTAAGATTCCTATTATGTACGGTAAAAAAATCGTACAGTTTTCCTAGCAACCACCTAGCTACGGTTAATACAAGCAGTATTGTATTGAAGGGGGAATCTTACATTGATCGCAGATGGTCTGTTTTTAAGTATTTATAGTAGTGGTCGTAGGTAAAGTATAGTACGTAATACGTGGTGTATTGCAATTACACATTCATAGAATTACGCACTCGCCGCTACGCGGTGTCGTCCGTAACTTTTCCATTCATGCGTAAAATGCTTTTTACAACACTTATTACGTAATATACTTTTATTTTTTTAATCAACCCAACAACTCCAAACAACCACATTTTTGACTATCAAACTACCCCACTTGACCCCGCCCCCCACAAATCAGCCTACGGATTTTCCACATTACCGTATTTTATAGTTTTATAGCACGTATTTTTTGCACGTATATTTGCACATATTTTTTCACGCTGAATTCGAATCTGCAACTCAATTTTACGAAATCGGGTCAGGAAAATTGTTATTAACAATTTAATTGTTTATATAGCTGTAGAAAGTTTGTCATTTTATGAAAAAATATTTCAAGTGTTATTTATTTTGACAGAATCTAGTTTTTGTTTTTTTCGAAAAAGCTGGAAAACGCTGTTAAACTTAACACATGTGTATATCTATAGCTATCATACGTAATACTCTGTGTTAAACTTTGGTGGCGTTTTAAAGCTAAATCATTGGGTTTTTTTAGATTTCATTGAAATAAAAAACTTTTATTTGACTTTTTTTCATAAAACGACAAGTAAACTTCCCGCTACTCCCGGGGGAAGGGGTGGATTTGGGGCTTTGTACCCATTGAGACTTTTGATCTACATGTTAAGAACTATTAATCTGCGAAGTTTCAAAAAAATTGGCCGAAAGCCACTTCCCATGAGAAAAGTGCGGGGTCCTTTGAATATATCAGGGGCAGACAGGTAGATAAAGTGTGCTGGTGAAGTTAATAGTTTTATAAAAAGTCCACTGTTCTTTTCATTTAAAGTCAAATTTAGTTATATCGGAACAATCACACTGCAGGTAATTATTTCATATTAAACTGTTAAAACTTTTTAATTTTAAATAAGCGACATATAAAGGTGGCTCTATGAAAAATAAAACAGGATTTATTGCTTCATTGATACTACGAATTTAAATTTTTGGTTTTTCGTTATGTCAAATTTTATTTGTGGGAATATCTGAATTTTGCAGAGGCATTTTATCTGGTTCTCTGCATAAAATTCAGTGGTGTACGCAGTACTTTTCTATAATTTCTGTTTTTTATTTTATAACTCAAATTTGCATTAAAAAAATTTTATGGACAAAAATGGAAAAATATACTGCACTGCATTCTGAAATAATAAATCAGTCACAAAATAATTATTAAAATTAAACACAAGGTTTTTGCTTTTTTGTTATAAAATTTTTCTGAAAACTTAATCCAACATCAAACTCTTATTTCGTCAGGAAATATGAGAAACTTCACAAAAGTGCTGAAATTATATGTCCAGTCCGTTTTGCAATTAAAGAAAAAATAGAAAACAGTCTGGAAAAATTCATTTTGGAAATCTTATAACAAGTTCTAGTTAGGAGATTCTACCAATTCATACCCCCTTAAAACAATTTTTAGTGGGTCCCTTATTTGTCTTTGGAGCCAAAAAAATTTGGTCGCATATTTAAATTTGTTAAAACTTATTAGTCCGCTAGAAAGCCATTAATATCAAGATAAAAAAAAGTTTCTAAATTCAATGGCTTTCTAGCTAACTAATAATTTTTAAGAAATTCAAATTTGCGACTAAATTTTTTTGGTTTCAGACAAGGGGCCCACAGAAGTGTCTTAAGGGGGTTCCCCGCCAAAAAGCGTAGCACTGTCAGATTCCACACATCATAAAACCCCTGTGTACCAAATTTAGTGAATCTCGTCCAAAAAAAACTATTCTTAGGGGTAGATTTCAGGGGACTGTAACTCTGAAGAGTGGGCCACTTGGCAAAAAACAAAAATACGGGCCCCCTAAATTTGTCTTAAGAATCTGTGACCAAATTTTGTTGCATTAATTTCGGGACACTTGTACAACACTAAAATCCTGTTTTAAATTTTGTCAGGTAAGTGTTTTTACTTTTACGTATTTTCTTGACTTTTATATTTAGTATTGCTGTTTAATATTACTATTATTATTGTGTTGGGACATATGTATTCCCTGTGAACATATTTACATTAGTATATCAAAAACCTAGACTGGAGTTATAACTATTCCTGGAAAAAAAAATTATTCTATATTGCGTTTAGTAGAATAGTATAATTTAATGTAAAATTAAATACATTTTTTTTATATATTTTTATAAAATGGTATGAAAAGTTGTTAAAGCGAAATAAGTAAATTAATATAAGTAAATATTAAATTTCCAGCGTTTTAACTCTTGCGAGTAGTAGCTTCAGTGTTAAGTAATCCACCTTTCCCAGTCCATTCCTCATTAAGTTTGACTTTGCAACCTAAATCTCGTAAGGCGGCTTTTGTATCATATTCTATCTCTTTGAATTTCTTCAAATTTTTTTGTAGCAATTCCTCTAGACCCAAACTTAGAAACTTGTCACATTGGTATTTACTACGAGAAACCATATTTCTTATGGCCCAACTTGCTGTTTTCTACAATAATATTTTACATAAGAATAATTTTTTCTAAAATAATTACATAAACTTTTACATAACACAAGTTTTTTTTTTTCAATGATTTTGACTAGGTATATTAGCAAGCACTGTACAGAAGGATTAGTTGAAAACATCCACCAACGGTTTTATTCACTTTTACTCTCTTCAGCACCTTACTGCAGTAATCATACATTAAAAAGGATGGGTTTCCATTTATTACATTCATTTAAATACACTCGCTCTTATGCTCTTCTTCGAAATTGACCGACTTGCTGCCTCTAGAAACTCGAGCGGCGTGTAGCACACTCCTGTAATTCCTTTAATGAATAGCTGTATTTTTGTCGAGATTTTTTACATTTTCTAAGGTAAATTCTCCTTTTGAAAAATTTCCTTGTGGAAAATTGCCAATTTTCTATGGGAGCAAAGGAGAAAAGGACAAATCATCGAGAAAGTAAAAAATTAATTTTGTCATTCAATTCCTTTTTAGAGACGTCTAAATTTGCTGGTAGCTCAATATGTACAAGTTAACTTTTCTATATCTAGTCTAAAAAAAATATCATCCAATGCACCGATATGGAGTGGTGCTCGGATACTGGCAGAAAGTCAAGTCGATAAGTGCTAGTTTAATTATTAAATGTTTAAAATCTTTTGTCTTTGTATATTTGTAGAAAACACTCTTTGTGGAAATGGCGTCCTCAAGTATAACAGATAAATCACAATAGTATTAAAAAAAAATCTCAATTCTTTACTTTTTCTCACCTGCACGAGTTTTTCATTGGGATACAATTTCATTATTTCCACAATGACATTAGGTACATTAGCTTTAAAAAGTTCAGTACTGTTGTCTGGACTTCGTAAGCAGATAGCTGCTGTAGCTGCCAGTCCCGCCGTCGCTGTTTGAACATTTCCCTAAAATCATTAAAAACTATCATAAAACAGAAAAAAATATCTTATTAAAATTTTATATTTAAAAAAATTAAAATTTTAAAAAGTTGTATGCAAGTTTAGAGATAAGCCTATTTCCAAATTAGTATATTTTTTAATGGAACAGTTAAATGTAATATACCTTGCTTGCGTCTAATGCAGCAACAATAATTGGTGCCAAATCATTCTGTATGATTTTGTATTTACATTCATCATTACCTGCTAAAGATTTTAATAATTTGAAACACTGCCTATGGACTTTCTACGATAATAAAGGTTTCATCATTTAATTCAATTACAATCTTTAGAAAGACTTACTTGACTACTTGGAAAGGCTGTAATAACTTCTTTGATTAGATCTAGACCTCCAGCATCAACTACCTTTTTGCAGAATTCTGTTCTAACAAGTAATACACTAAAAGTTTGCATCAGATCACAAATTAGCTGTTCATCATGTCTAAAACCTAAAGTTAAAAAACGATATTCATGAAATTGTAAGCATATATTGTAAAAATGCAGTTAACTGAAGGGCATATGCACCACAGTTGCTTTTACTAACGCTATACTTACGATTAAGAAGATTTGTAAGAAGACACAGGCATTCGCTTGCTATAACGCGAGCATGTTCATGAGCTTTACCAAATTCCACACGGATATCATCATCAAGCACCAAAGCCCTACAAACTCCCATCGTTTCCTTCAATATGTCTGGAGAACCTTCGTGTAGTAATTCCTTTATCTTCTCTAAAATGTTGGCGTCAAAGATATTTTGCCTAAAATTCATTTTCATAGAGACAAGAATTTCAATTTACCTTATCTTACTATATACCTATTCTTTTCATGCATAACACAGCACTCCTTGGCCCATTTTAAAGTAAGTCTCTTTACCTCTAAATCTTCATTTTTATCAAGATGACAAAAAATGGCTTCAATACCTCTGTCATCTAAAAGATCAGGCTGCTTGGTCATAAGAGATATGAGTGTTCTTATAGAAATTCTTTCAACTTCAACATTGCCACTGTAATTAAATAGAGTATCTAACAGAATCGGATATGCGTCATGTTGTCCTAAAATAGTCCATATGTAATTGTAATAATATAAGGTGGATTACAAGAAAGTTTTACCAGCTATTACTCTATATTGTATGCCCTTGTCACATTCTGCTTTTAAAGCTTCTAATATCTCTAGGATTTCCTTGGCAGGCGCTTTAGATTTATTTAAATTATTCAGTTGTTTAATTCTATCCTCAATGGCATCCGATGATTTTGGTTCAAGCATGAGTTCTTTTATAATAGAACTTAAATCTACACCCTAAAATTAAATGAATCTCTGTCACCGTCAAAATTTTTCAGCGGCTTTTTGATTATTTGTTTGTTTGTGTTACAATTAGTAATACCTACTAAAAAGTGTAGCCTAGTTGCTCAAGTATTTCATTTTAGCTAGTCCTGAGAAAATTGATCTCATTTTAAACTAAACCAATACTTAATTTTCAATGTTAATTAAAATATATCAATTTTTTTTTTATTAAATTCTTGGGTCTGTCTAATACTTTTTCTTGGAAATTTTATTTTTTTTATGGGCAAGTTAAAAATTAATTTTCACTACACTGCTATATTCATGTAACACTGGCACTGGAATTAAAATAAATATATACATGTGTCAGATTTGTAGCACTTCTGAAATATTTTTTTTAAGTCAATATTTATAATAGTACATGTTCTATTTTATTGAAAACGTTTTGTGAATGGTTGAAAAAAAAAAATCTGCATTGAAATATTGAAATGATTTTTTGGAAACTGATTAATGTTAGTGAACCATCTGATCTCAGATCCAAGTTTACAATTTTTGCATTTAATACCTTATTTAGATAATAATCAGGATTAATAATTATAATTTCTATCTGCAAATAGATATTACAAACCTGTGATTCAAACTGAACTACAGCTTCCTTTAAAGCTTCATCTGGAGTTAAACCTAAATCTTCAATATTTTCTCGAACAGCATCGTTAAAAGTTTCTTGAGAAATTACCAAAACCATTGTAAATTGCTGAGGCGGAACCAGTAGCTGGTTTTATTTGAACAATTCAAGAACTTGATTCACAGTGAACAACTTTTTTTACCATAGGCTGGAATAACTATCGTTTAAGAGCAATATCTATATAGTTTTTATGACTTGATGGACTTCTAATACAAGGTAATTATCAAAAGCAAAATAATAAAACGTCAAGTAATGGTCAAATAAAACACTTTGTTCTTAATTAATTCAACAACTTCCCACACACCGCCACCACATAAATTGTAACATGACAGCAACAGTACAGCAGTGCAATTTTACAGTGACAGCAACTGACAGCTGACAGTTTGAAAACATATGTTTTTAGGGATTTTAGTATTTTGAGTACAGACTACTGGTTCTTATCTATGATACAGACCATGGAGACTAGATAAGGAGCTCGAACTCATACGGGAAAATTGACAAAATTTGTCCAAGAAATGGCAGAAGTTGGGGTGGCGCTAGTGTTCCATATGACCCAAATGAATGTAGCTTCATAAATACGAGTGAAGTAAGCAAATAACAAATTTTATTTTATTTATATTGAGTTTAATGGATATATTGGGGAGCGGGGAGGTATACTAACCTAAAAACTAGAAGTCAAGTCAATAATTATTACAATTTGTTTTTATAAATGGTAAATAAAAAGTTTCGAAAATAATTTAAATATGGTAATAGTATGTGNGCATTTGCGGTCGGGGTAGACGACGGATGGGGCCCACCTACGAAGGCTGTCCAGGCCTACACGAGATGAGGCAGGATAAAGAGGGATAATCCCCCTCGATCCCAAATCATTCAGGCCAATTTCTAGCCATGGAATAATGGCGGCGACCCTAATCCTTTCTTCTCATCTCTTCTTCTTCTTCTTCTTTTTTTGGCCTTCACCCAGAGGGTATTTAGCCAGCTTCTTAAGTACTTGTTTCTTCTTCTTCTTCTTCTTCTTAAGTACTTGTTTTATATTCAAGGGAATGCACCGTGAAGTGCATCTGAGATTGTTCTTCTCATCTCATGAATCTCATCAGCATGGAGACTATCTAGTCTCCATGCTCATCAGTATCAGATCTCATGTCATGATTATTATGTTTCTTCTGATATTCTGTGGTCTGTGGCTGTGGTTCATCTGTGGTACTATATTATGTTTTGTGATGTGATTTGTTGCTGTTGGTTGTTGTGAATTGTGATTGTGAAAGATCGAATGATCCAAAAATAATTTATATGTGCAGTTCCAAAATATGTTTGTGAATTCAAAAATAAACACAATAAATTATTTATATACTGTGTTCTGTGCTTAAAAGTGTATATATCGCATTTAGAAATTGAAATATATGTTAACATTTTGTATATTAAGAAACTCGATAATAGTACAATATTTCGTTTCAAGTTAACTGAGCACCAAAAGAAATTTATTTGTATTAAGAAATAGTGTAACAGTATTTTCACATATACAAAACACTACTGTACATAATATTTATAAAAAAATGGCACAGTGGATAGGATACATGGTGTCGATTAAATGCACAGATGATCTTGGAACATTTCAAGGCGAAATTTTATCAGCAACTAATACAGAAATTACTTTAATGAAAGCATTTTGCAATGGATTTCCTTGCCTGGAAAATGAAGTAAAAATAAGGTATGTGTGTACTGTTAAACGTTTGCTATCGTAGTCAAGTTTTAATTTTCAATATGAAGTGCTTGGTATCTACATCTAAGTATTTTTTTTTAGGGCTGAATCTATTGCCGACTTAAAGCTGATAGAGAAACAGTCAGATAATGTAGAACAACATAGTACCGTAACAATAGCAAAACCAATTGCAAAAAGAGCAGGAAGAAGCCAGAGCATGTCTGAAACAGGGAATACGAGTAATATTAAATTTAATAGTTCAAATGTGTCTCATGTTAAATCAAAACCTATTGATATTGAAGTAAAAAGCAGTTCAAATGATGGATGCTCTAATTCATATAAAAATAATACTCCAAACAGAAGGGAAAAGAACAAAGGAAAATGGGTGAAGGGTTGGAAAGATGAGGAATGTTTCGGATCTCCTCTAGATCATAAAATTAGTAAAGACTTTGACTTTGAAAAAAATTTGGCCTTATTCAATAAACAAGCTCTTTGGGATGAACTTAATGCACAAAAGCCAGATGTCATAAAACAGGCTGATAAAAAACCTACTAAATACAGGTAAACATGTAGTAGGTACCTAAAACTATTTTCTTCAATTTTATAGCAGTATGTAGTTCTCTAATAAAAAAATCAATTTACTGCGGGTACCTATAATACATGACTTTTTTAGACATGACGAAAATGTTATTGCTACCCTCCCTACAAGTTATAGACAAATTACTGTTCCCAAACAAGATTTCTGTGAGTATGTGACGGACGATGGGTTGATCATTCCCAGTATATCGAGATCTTTACGAAAAAAACTGTGGGAAGCTGCTGAAAGGGTAGGACTTACTTGGGAGAGACGAATAGAACTCATAGGAAGAGCAACTACTGAAATTTCTATTCAGTTGTTGGGAGGGGGCCATAGGTTGAACCCACATAATACGCACCAATGGCCTACCGTTGTCATATTATGTGGACCGCATAAGTAAGTATTACTTTCATTGAAATGTAAGGAATATTGATTCTTTTTTTTATTTTCAGGCAAGGAGCAGCAGGTATAAATGCTGCCAGACACCTGGCTAGTCATGGTGTCCGAACTATCGTCTTTACGGTTTCTATGGATGCACCAGTAATCAAAAAGGAACTTTCCCTATATATGTTGACTAAGAATAGAGTTCTCAATAATGTAACCGATCTTCCAAACGTAGGAGACTTAATAATAGCTGCACTTTGTGAGGACACGGAAAATCCTAAACATTACCCTTTATTGTCCGACTGGATAAACAAGAACAAGGCTCCAGTGTTAGCAGTTGATCCCCCAACGGTAGGAATACCAGGTATTACACCTAAATTTTCGTTGTTACCAGCATTACCTTTGCCTCATTCATCTGATAATGGGAAGTTGTATTTGTGCAATTTAGGCTTTCCTGTTGATGTTTTCAACGAGGTGGGTATCAAATATAAGTCACCTTTTGGGCCAAAATTTGTTATACCATTACATCCAAAAGATGACTGATAACATTGGCTGGAACACAAAAAATTTACATAAATATTACTTTCATAAAATAGTATTTCCTTCGCTGGTATATTTTAAATTTGTACACAGTTACATTTTTTAACATTCAAATTTCAGGCAACTTATAACGACTCCATTTTTCTCAGGCAATTATTCTGGTATTCTTTTAATGTTTACAATCGTGCTTAATGTATATACGTCTATTTTTAAATAGGAGGGCTGGAATATTTTTAATATGTACTTTTTAAAATCTTGTTGACAAAAGAAATTAAGCTTTTTATTGTAATAAAAAGTATTTAAAAACCATGTAAAATTGTAATAACCTTATAAATGCATAAACAAATATAATGATGTATGTTACAAGTCAATAACATCGATTTTTAAATATATTTCTGTTTCCCACTTAACTTTTTTAAATGCTATGTATTTTCTGTTTAATTCATACCCCATCTACTGTAACGTCCAATTCTCAGATTGATGTCAAATTTGACACACGAGGATAGCAGGGCATGACCACAGATCACAGAAACAATGGCATGACGGATCTGATGCCAGTACTGTTACTACTTCTTTAAATACAAGATGATTCTTTTTTTTTTTTAATTGGAGACCATGTATATATAATTATTACTTATGTAGATAGAATGTTTTTATGATTACAGTGATATAAAGTTTGATGTGGTCTATCTCTAATAATAAGAGAGATATGGCTAAAAAAGTGTGCTGTAAGTGTAGGATGTATGCATTTGTCTAATACATTAGGCTTATTTCTTATAATTACAGATGATATTTAAAAGAATCATATTCCAGAAAGTAGAGATAATTGAATTACGATTATTTTAAATGCAGTGGATAATATGCCATGTTGATAGATTTCTATGAAAATAATATTAAATGTTATACTGGTATATCGTCGCTGATAACGTAAAGGGGCGTAAGCACCAAAAGTACTATGTGAGTTACTTTTCAGGAAAGCAATGTAAAGAAAATTCATTACAAGTGAATTTATTGTGGCATTGATGGATATTGTAGTATTAATGTGGTTGATGGATATTGTAGTATTAATTATGTACTATATTAATTACCCTAAGGGCTTAATTCAGAAAGGGACATTGGTCGATTTTCTTTTTGTCGCTTATTCCCATTTGCAAGATAAACGACGATATCTACACCTTACTATATAAAAAAAATATTTTTTATATGGCATGAATAGTTTTTTTATAGTATATTTCCTGTAACTTTTATATACTTAGTAGGCCAGGAAATATAGAGTTGGCCGCGACTTTTTCTTTCGGCAAGCTGAATTTATCACTATGCTAAATATTATGTACAATAACATATTAGTTTACACAGTCATAAAAATGGGGGAAGATTGTTTACAGGGTGGTTAATTGTATAATTTTTACGTAAATTCACGTTTTTCGCCTATAAGTTTTTTCCGTTCATTTCCACGAGAAAACAGTAAAGTACTTTTTCTTTCGTCTTCAAAAGACCTACAAAACTAGCCCTCGAGCGTCAAAAAGTATTGGTTAGACAAAAAATTATAAATAGAAGAAGTTTATTTATGACTTGAATTAAACATTTATATATTTATAAACTGCATTATTACCAGAACGTTTTGGCATCGCATCCTCTCATTCCTTATCACTGACTAATAACACACACGAAATCTGGAATCGGTAAGTTGAATAGTTTACAAGTAAGTACAAGTTTACGACGCACGCGCGTGATGTAGTTATATATTATTACATATTCAAAAAGCTTATGACGAAGTTACAGATTATCAAATTTGACGGTCTATTGTTATACAAATTAGGTTGGTAGGGGAAAAAAAAAATACTGTCATAACCGGCAACCTGAGTACTTTCCCAGATACAAATATTTTATTTGTGGAAGTATGTTAAGTGCATAAGAAATATTGTTAAAAGTCAGAGAGTCACTTGATTTTTCGGCGAGCCGTGGCACGGCGGAAGGGTGGGGAAAGCGAACGACAGCGAGTCTGTAGAAAATGATATTCATAGCCCTGCCTTTAAAAAAGCGAAATTCGCTTGAAAATAATATATTTGACAGTCTGTATTTTATTTTTGCCGCTACCAACCTAATTTGTTTATACAATCGGCCGTCAACTTTGACAGTCTGTAACTCTGTTGTTTTTCAACGAATCTTGACGATTTTTTTTTAATTTAAAGTACGATTGTGGAAGATGCTCGGGATTGTCCAAACTAATAATTAGTTAATTTGTTTATAACGCCATAACTTGTAAACTATTCAACTTACCGATTCCAGATTTCGTGTGAGTTATTAGACAGTGATAAGGAATAAGAGAATGCGATGCCAAACCGTTCTGATAATAATAATGCAGTTAATAAATGTTTAATTAAAATTCATAAATAAACTATTTCTGTTTATAACTTTTGATCTAATCAATATTGTTTGATGCTCCAGGGCTAGTTTTGTAGGTCTTTTGAAGACGAAAAAAAAATACTTTACTGTTTTCTCGTAGAAATGAAAGGAAAAAAGTTATAAGTGAAAAACGTGAATTTTCATAAAAATTATACAATTAACCACCCTGTAAACAATCTTCCGCTCATTTTTATGACTGTGGAAACTAATACAGTAGAACCTTGATAATCCGAACTAATTGGGACCGGGGGTGGTTCGGACTATCGAATCGTTCGGATTACCAAACAAAGTGCTTTCCAGGCATAGTAGCATGCAAAGAATGAACACTGACATACTATTTCCCATAAAATGAGGAGCACGTTGTATTGTTAAAGGTACAAAATAGTTAGAGAGCGACTGAAGGCAAAAACCAACACAGGCACAATAACAACACACACGATGCAATGTTTACTACGGTGATGCTCTGTTTACTGTAGCAGTTAGAGAGCGATTCTGATTACATACTATTTTTATTTTTCCCTAAACGGCGTTCGGATTATCGAGCGTTCGGATTACAGGGGATCGGATTATCGAGGTTCTACTGTATGTTATTGTACATAATATTTAGCATCTATGATGATAAATTCAGTTTGCCGAAAGAAAAAGTCGCGAAATGGTCTTTTCCCAACTGTTTTTCCTGGTCTATTAGTTTGTCCTTTTCCATCCGTATAAAACTTTTCTAAAGATTTGTTTTATATACAGGGTGTCCTGAAATTAATGCAACAAAATTTGGTCACAGATTCTTAAGATAAAGTGGGACCCATATTTTATATTTATTTTTGCCAAGTGGCCCCCTCTTTTGGAGTTACAGTCCTTTGAAATCGAAAATAGTCTTTTTTTATATCTCAGAACCCTGTTATATGAAAATCACTAAATTTGGTACACAGGGGTTTTATAACATGTAGAATCTGATAGTGTTACACTTTTTTTGTACTTCTTGTCTTTGGAGCCCAAAAAGATATGGTCGCATATTTGAATATTATTGAATATGAATATTACATCTGTGTAATACTTTTTCTAATAGAAAATCCTGTATATTTTTACAATTACAGTGATAAAAATTTGCCGGGCTCAGGTAATAAAATAGTACGGTGTTTTCAGTATTCTGATTTATTAGTTCTTTAGCGGTTTTCATCAGAGGGGTAGACGTTTATTTCCGAGTTGTAGCAGTGGAGTTAAGATGTACTGTTTACTTTTTTGAGGAAATCTGGGAAAGTCGTACGGTACTAAAATTAAAACTGGCCGCTTCATTTGTATTTATTTTATTAATCCAGAAAACTATACATTTACAATTTGGTAACAAATATCAGACATTTACTACAGTTTAAATTTAATTATTATATTAAAATTATGTTGTATTATCTATATATGGCCGTTTGTTTCAAATTAGAGGTATTTTTTTTCTTTTTGATATACTGTTTTAATGATATGCTTATATTTTTATTTTGATAATACATTATTCACAAGCATCGTTACCGGTAACCTTAATTTTCTTGGTAAATTCAAAATTTTGTAAAATTTCCTTGTACAGTTTTGCTTATGGCAGCTGATTTTGTAAGATCATTCTGAAGTCTCAGTTAAGTATATGTATAGTAATACTAATAAAATATAAACTGCTAATATTGTTTACTGTTACTCAGTCACATATTTTTGTACCTGGAAATAATCGAGTTGAATCGTTCAGTTAATAAATATTTTTTTAATTATTTGTTTTTGTAGTTAAATTACATTTTTTTTATAAAACAGCATTTTTCAGAATGACCTTCACAATAGGAGTATTTTGCAAATAGAAAAAATATCATACATGTCATAATACGAATGTCTACTACTTTTACAGAATTTACATCTGTTACATAGATCAAATTACAAATATTTAATTATTGTTAAATTGCCGTTACATTCTAATTATTAATAAATTATATTGCTAAAATTTCTATTTTTTGAGCACTACGTTTGAGCTACAATATATACATTGTAACATAAAAAAGGTAAGGCTTGGGAACATGATTGTTTTTAACGTTCTGGAGTATTCCCCATTAATATTTACACGGAGTTTATTAGTTTAATTGCTATTTAAATTCTGATTAGGATTGTTAGTAGAGCTTCCAAAGTCACTAAATATTTTAGTTAATTTCATATAGTGTACCTCAAATTCTAGTAATAAATAGGAATTTTGCTGAAACATATTGTACCATAAATGTATATACAGGGTATTTTGATGGGCTGAAAAAATTTAGGAGCTGATCGAATATCAAAAAATAAATACATAAATAAGATAACTGCTATAGACGATTATTGACCAGTCTTTTTTTAGATATCTTTTACAAAATGCAATATATTGCAATGAAACTTAATACAAGTTTTTGAGAATGCTAAAACATCAGTGTTGTTAGTTTTGTCAAGTATATTTTGTCAATGTGGAGCTATAAACATTGTCAGAGTTTTTATTCTCTATTCACATTTCATTTTTCTATTTACCAGGGCAAAATTATTAACGAAATAATTTCCTAAGTTCACAGTTTGGCATAATGTTCCAAAAAGCAATGTTTGGGAATACAACTTGGTTGACTGTGGCTCAGTCAATTGTTTCTTTTATTTTTTAGAAAATGATGCATTTTCACTTTTAACAAAAGTATTTCTGTTGTATAGAATAAAACTGTACATTGTCACATTTATATGTAAATAAAATACAGAAATATAACCTCGAAAAAAAAGTTCTTCAACTGTCACAGAATAATTGTAACTAATGACATCTAGAAGATACAGTAAAACTTAGTTGTACCGAATTTTAATGCAATGCATTGTATTTCGTAAAAATGTGTCTCGTGTATTTATATTTTCCATAGGAAAAATTTGTGTTATTTTTGATGATCTATTGGTGCACGCTTGCATACTCAAAACAACATGTTTAAGGTATTTTAAACAGTATTTAAACAGTATACGAATTTTGAACGCATAATATAACATAAATTTTTTAATTAAGGAATTTACGATTTTAGAAGCTCCACTAAGTATTTCCCCTCAATGTATGAAACAGGAACTGTTTTTTTAAATATGTTTAATACAGTGAGGGCCTATATTGTCAAATGTATTAATACTAAATTCAAAACAAGGCATACAAAATTGCAAAATATTGAAAATTTCAAATATCACATCAATATAGTGCATATTGTAATTAAAAGATTATTGTAATCATACATGTAATATAAAAACTATTTATAGATTACTTCAGTATTAGGTTAATTTTAAACACCAATCTCATTTAAAATTCATATAATTACCAAAATAGAATATGCGATTTTTAAATATATCGATAATAAAAAATATGTCAACGTAAGAATATCTAGAAGTGAATTTTTTTTTAAAATATAAATTAGAGCAGACAAATTATTTAATAGTGTATAAATAGGTATGTATATACAATTGACTAAAGAAATAAATAGGAACAATAAAATTAAATATAAATGATATGGATGAAAGTGATGAAAATCACGAATACTGCAAGTTTTAAAATCACCTATTAAAGAGGTGAAGGGGTAGAAATTTTATTACATGAATGATTATTCAAATTTTTTTCCAGCAACTTTTTAAGTCATTTAATTGATAATTGGCAGGTAGCGAAAATATAGTTACAAATTTGCTAAGGTCTTCAATTAACAATTTCATGCTAGAGCAGAGGAAGAAATAGATATAGTTATAATAAATTAACGAGGAAAAATAGTACGCAATAGATTTGAATATTTGTACTTGTCAAATGAGTATAAGTCCATAAGGAAGACTTCAAATATTTCAAAAGTGAAGAAAATGAAGCAATACATTCAAATTGCCAAATGTAACTTTGAATCTTTTTAGAGCCATTAGAAGTATTTGCTTAATAATTTATTTATAGTACACTATTTTATTTAGATTTAGGAAATTTTATGGGGAAGGAGTGTATACCTATATTTATGCAATTGTCGTTAAAAATTAATGTTGGTCTTTCAAATTTGGACACTAAAAACAAATAGGTAACGTTTCAAATGGTATATATCTTGTGAATATAAGTGCAATTGGAATAATGTAACGAAAAAGTCAAGTCAAGATTACAATTAATTTTTTCGTATCATTCATCATCATATTCATCTAAGTATTACAAGTACCACGCCAACTACTCAAAAATTATGTTTGTATTGACCATCATTCTTACGGAACAATCTATTTAAAGCATTAGTCACACAATAGAGTTGTCAAGCAGCCAAAATTAAAAAATGTAAATTTAAAGCCAACATTCCCATTTATAGCAAGATAACAAAAACCTAAAATAGTTGTCTGACTTTGTCCATGAATTTGATGTATAGAGTTGTCCAATGGTGAGAAATAGATCTGTTAAACCTTACGTCACTATAATCTACTACTAATAGATTATATACTGTTATAATCTGATACACAATTGTATTCGCAACATAATATTGAAATATGAAAAAAGTTCCATGTAACATTTATCTTTCCTGTCTCAAAGATATCAGAGGAAGTCCCTACTTCTCTGGTGGACCACCCAGTACAGTTATTAACAATAAGTAAATCATTTTTAGAAGCAAGTTCACTGAATCCTGATATGTCATTTTGACTGCTCAATTATTTTTTCAGCTAAAAAAGTAGATAGTAATAAAGTATAGTTTCTAGATTATAAATTGAATAAAAAAAATCACGTTTGATATACGAGGCCATTATTTACTATGTATGCCCTTTTGAGGTACAAAATTCCATGATGTATATCCCTCAAAGAACACCTACACATTGGTAAACTTGCAGTACTCTATGATCTGCTAGAAACTGGCGCTAGCCTAGCACATGGTCTCTGACTGCATATGAAGACTACCCTTAGAATCGGTCTTTGTTAGTACTTCTTGTTGAATTGGTAGTTGCGATGAATCGATGACGATAGAAGGTCGTTGTGGCAGAGGTGGTTGCGTAACGGCAGACTGATTATCACTGGATTCTGTGGAATCTTGGCGATCAGTGGATGAATTGTTAGAATCTAGGGTTAATTTTTAATTAATAAATTTGTGTTGGGTGCCAGTGCCAACAAAAGTTTCATTTTAAGTCATAATTAAGGTCTGCAAGTGAACCATTGACGGCATAAAAGCTATGTGTACAACAGTATACAAATAAATTATACTCACGACAAGTAAGTTTTAAACCAATGTGTCAATTGTTTAACCAGAGATTCCTTAGCTCAGAATAATCCATGAAAAATCAGACATATCTATCATATGTGAATTTCTACATTCAAATTAAGTTTCTTAGTTATTTATAATGTATAACAATTTTGTATTGCGGATATTAAGGAGGTTTATCGGGTACAGAGGTACGTCTAAAGTCTAACGAAAGTTTCTGTAGATTCGCTAGTGACTAAAGTAGTAAGCCTTTAGATTTGGCAACGTTGCACTTGGCTGGCGCTCGTCTTGGCGTGCGCTCTTTCCCGTTCGATCATTCTGTTTGGACACCTGCGAATTCCAAATAATACGTTACCTCGAGACCGCGACGCATATGGAGGATAAGTTAGTCAATGACAGCAGTTTGAAGGAGAATTATTATAAATTATGTATCTTACAAGTACTTAACCGATTTCTACAAGCTGTCATACGGTTCCTTAGATATCGGTTTCCTATTTATACAAGTTGCTGTAGAAACTGTTCGTCAATTGTTGTGCATTCTAAGTGGAAAGACCAAAAAAGTCTGCATTCTCATAAGACTTCGTACTAAATCGTGAAAAATTATTTGATTAATATCTCATCTCACAGGTATCCAAACTAGTCATAATTTTTTTTGAGGATTCTCTTCTTATTAATAAGCTTAATTATTTTTTTTATGAATATTTGTTCATCAATTCCAAATCAGATAAACCTCCTTAAGACATAATAGACAATCTTGACATTTTTAATGACTATAGTTGACAAAACTGCTGCTTTTTCTTATTTGCACTTAAGGAGGTTCGATACCGAAAAAGCAATTCAAAGCAATTGAAATCTGTTAATAAATATGTAAATTGCCTCGTGTAAAAATATCAGATCGATTGCCAACGTAGTTCTTTTGAAAAATGATATTAAAAATGATGCTCTTATACACAGGCTCTTATGGGAATGGGGAAAAAAATTTAATCAAACGCTCCTCTTAAAAATGGTTAGGATCAGGAAAATAAAATTATAATTAAAGAATTAAATATTACTAAACATTTTAAAACAATTTTTAAAACATTTTTACTAAATTATTGAGATATGGAATGAATAGATAATGTTTTGACAAATTTGAACAAACATCTGATCCATTGAAAGGCTGTACACTGTATTTAACGCTTTGACTGATGCGCTATACTTGAATAGCTCGATTATAGACTAAAATTACTGCAGTCGAAAACTTATGTGGTAATAGTTAATATTAAATAAATTTTTCGTGATATAATGCAATATAATAGCAATTTGAAGCAAAAATTGAAAGGATCTCTTTGCAAAATGAACAGTATAGATGTTCTGTCATAATCTTCAATTTGACGAGGCAACGTCTCACTATCATACACTGAACTTCTTGATAGTTATCATATGGATTCTCGGTTTGCACATTTTACTTTTTTCTCATCAATCCACATTCTGTTTCATACGCATTTTATATTACTGTTCAGTCATTACTTTTCCTTTGTATCTTGGATGTTCATTCATGTTTAGGTTATTATGCGCTAACTGTCAACTTAGCTTTTACCACCACACCATACTGATGTGCAATGTTGCCAGATTTCACCCATAGTTTCACAAGTTCTTAATGAACAAATAGACACTCAAATAAAAAGTTAATTGCCGTGCATTAAACACGAAATATATATGCGAGCTAATATGTGTTGTATAAATTTCATTCGCATATATTATATTTAGTTCGCTCAAATTAGTTTATGTAAGGTTGGTACTACAACGAAACTTCTGTGTATAAGCATAGGCTTCCCTCCCGCACCGCCTGCCCCGCAAGAAATTATTCTAAACAAGATTATTCTGAGCCAAGGAATCGCTGGTCAAATGTTGTACATGTATTTTCCAGACATCCTGTATAAGCTATGTCTTAAGTTATTTAGCTAGAGGATTTTTTGTATTTATTTACTTGTTTCTTTTTCTCATGTGTTGTGTTAAGATTTTCTGAAAATAAATTTATTTTGTATGGAAACAAATTATAAAACCATGAATGTATGATTTACTTGCTGACCTTAGTTATATAATAAATTTGTTTTTACCTAATAATGGACCCTGTACAGACGGTACTTCACCTTCAACAGCACTCGATCTCCGAAGAGCATTGCGTATAGGCCAGGCATTAATTCGATATTCCCGAGTTTCAGTTACTACACTAAGGAGTGCTGGATTCTGGGCATGTTGAGGATCGTTATCTTCTTCTTCTTCTTCATAGCGTCGTTGTATGAGATTTTCCATTACCATGTAATCGCACTCCTCAGCACTGCGTAGGTGCTCCTTTTCAAAGTTGATTGCGATTTCAGGATTGGACATGTCTGAGTGGTTACGTTTTCTCCCGCCTGCATAAGTTACTGCATAAATAATTGTATTAAATGTTATAAATGGTTTGAAGACATATCTGTGTAGTATTGGAAAATATTCATTTTCTCAGAAGACTGAATCAACCAGTCTTCTTTATCATATTCATTGTTAAATTTTAGAACATGAAAAGGAAAACTAAACTGGTTACACAACTTTTCTAACTATGTAGTAGTAATAGTTATTTTTATATGAATGAACATAAAATAAAATTATATAAATTTACCTTTAATTATGTGCATTGGTTGTCTTTTGTTAGATTGTGCAATATTTTGACATATTTTCTGTTCTACCAGTTACAAAAATAAATATTTTTTCAGTTTTGTACCCAATTTGTTTCCCTTGTTTTAAACCAGTGTTAGTAATATTTTGCTCATTAAAAAAAACAGTTATGTACCCAAATTTAAGCAATGCTAAATTAGAGTTTAGTTAACAAACATAAAGGGGATCGTGCAGAACATATACAGGATGTTACAAAAAAAAAAGGTCAGGCCGTTAACTACACATTCTTTAGGGGAAAATAATCACACTTTCCTTATGACATTTTTCATTTAAATGTCTTTTTTAAGATAGAAGTTGTCAAGGTTAAAACTTTAAAAATATTTTTATTAATAAACCTCTTTATGTTTCTAAAATTATTGTTTTCGTTAAAATTGTTAATTATTACTACCTATTTTTTGAATTACAAAAGATTTTCAAAACGTTAGCAAAATGTTTGTTTTTGATCATAAAGTCATTTTTATGTAAAATTCATTGGCGCTTCAGAATTTGCTGTCAAATGTCAATTTTTCCAGTGGCGTAAAAGTTGGGGGGGAAACCCTTACGATACCTTAAAATCACCACAACTGTCACGTGCATTCGAGAAGGGTGCAAAAAAGTAGCTATTAATAGTGGTAATGTGTGGACAAAAGTAGTTCAAATGATTCCTAAGATATTGTTTTCTCTATCTCTTAAAATAAAAAAGTTAGACGACCCTAAACTTTCGGTACTTTTGCGGTTTTTTATGATTACTCACAAAGTTGGCCATGGATCTCAAATTTGTTTTTGCGAGCATAAAGGCCTCAAAAAGTGGAACAAAAAAACATACAAAGATTTTTGACGTGCGTCGTATATTAAGCGAGATACATAGGAGTGGCCCTCTTATAGTAGACAGCCTTTATATGTTGTGTAAAGGAAGTCGTGATATTCCGTAATAAAGCTTTAACTTCAAATTTTACAAGAGTGATAAAGTTTAACAGGATGTCTTAAAAAACAACAGAGTTTATTAATAAATATATTTTTTTGCAATTGTAGCATTGACACCCTCTATCTCAAAAAATGGGCTAATAAAAAATGGCATAAAGAAACGTTTTTCGCCCAATGGTAACAGCTCGATCAACTTTTTCATAACATCTTGTACTTTAATAAACCTGTAACTTCAAAATATTTGATTATAAGTGGATTATTACCGTTGCATATTATTTTTTTTTAATTTGGATTTGTTTTTCAAACCCTCTCGCAACACTCATTCAGAAAACCGAGTTATAATGTGTGTGGTTCGTATGTACGACATTTAGACGACATCTAGACTTACTTGGTGGCGATTGTTCGGGCCTAGGAGGTGACAAAAGCCCAGGTGATCTCGGTGGACTTAATAATCCACACACAGATTCCAGTTCGTCAGTAATGCTGGTGTATTCTGTATGCATGTGCATAAGTAAGCCAGCTCTACTACCACCTGTGACGCTAGTGGGTGGTATAACTTTAATTTTAGGCTCAGTAAACGTCACGCTCCGCTCCAAAGATACCGTACTCGAAGGAATAATAGCTGCTGCTGGAGGGTCAGAGGTCTCGGGTTCTGACTGAGTTTGGGAAAATTGCCGTTTAGGTAAAGCCGCTTTATTGGTGAGTGAGGAAGGCTCCTCCCCTGAGAGACATTTTTTTTTATTTGGATAGTAAATTTAGCATTGACTGACGCTTTTGAGCAGACAGGAAGACATTTGAGTGAAGGTAGAGAGCAAGCGGGTAAAATTTTTGCCCGTGCCAAGCAGTGTTATCAAGCAGAGCGGAAAATAATTAAGGAAAAAAGGTAAGTAGGTAAATATATTTTTCTTAGAAATGTAAGAAAGATTGGTAATTTTTCTAACAAGAAGTGAAACATAAACAAAAAATTCATATAATTCAGACTCCACATTGAATAACATCGATTGTATCTACAGAGTTAGTCCCAATACTGCTTAAGTTTCATTTAATAACATTTTTCTATGTCTTGTCGTACCATGGACTTCCAAGTTTGTAAATTTATAGCATATTTTAATCTGTTAATTCTAAGGATTCATATTCCCCTTTATTTTAAACTGGGCCTATAAAAAATAATTCTGCAGGCGTCAATTATTAGAGTAGTTTTCAACAAAATTGTAAATATTAGAAATTATAAACACATGTACCTACCTAATCCAATCTAAAAATTGTAGACTGAATTAAAGCAACTTTTGTACTTGAATTAAGCTTTAGCAGGTATTACTACATTAGTTGTTCTTAAAAAGCTCAACAAAATCTGCATCTAAATCTAATAATTTTTTTCTGAAATCCTATTCGACCAGGGTATTTCTGAAATACGGCGACAAAGTTGAAGTGAAGACAGGAAATATTTTAGCAAAGAGTTTCCTATGAATATGAGTTCAACAATTTTAACTAAATAAATTATAGGGTGATAAAGCTGCAACCCTGCAAACATTTTTTAAAATAACTCTAAAATAGGCAAAACGGACATTGAAATAGATCTAAATTGGCACGGTATTTAAATTATTGGTTGTATTAAAATTGTTTTTTTTCCTCACACAGACACTTATAAAATCAAGGAATGAGCCCATATGTTGTAACAACCGTTCCATGATTCTGCCACCAATTTTCTTTCCAACTTTTATTTTAATTTAAAAGCAATCCATGATACTTATTTTGGTTTTCAGAACCTGGATCAAGGTTTAGAAGAACGTTTATTGACATTTTTCTTAAAAACAGTTCAGATTATCAATATTAAACAATATTTTTAGTGTCTCTTGAGATAACCTTTCGTAGAAATGTATTATTACTGGAAATGCTACAAATATTTTTTAGATAAAAAAAGTATATTTTTGTCTACATCCATAATTGTGGATGAGGAAAAAATTGATTCTTCATAAGGTTACCGCAATTGATAATTTAAAGACCTATGCCAAGTTTTAGTCGGATCTGATTTTAGAATTACAAAAAAAAAATATGTTTTTGGTAGTGAAATTTTATTACCATGTAACCAAGCATTTTTGAAACCCTTGAACATCAAAGGGAAATTTTTTTCTTGTCTCAGTCTAGCACCATATTTTAGAAACAGCCTTTATGAATACATCGCTATATCTACTTCTGTGGTGATATAAGCTTAAATTTAGGCATGTATCACAAGTTATATTTGTTTTTATGTACCTATTAATTGGAACTGGTATTGAAATATCTTAGATTTTATATTTATGATATTTACAAATATATTCATTCTAATTTGTACTGAATCTTTATTCACAATTTTTGAAGTTTTTGCATATTTAATGCCTGAATTACCAATCGGACACAATACGAACGATTATACATTTATTTCGATCATGAGGATGGAGTACACCTAATTCATGAATGACTTGTGAACATGCTCAGGCAGATTGAAAACATCCGTTCATCTTCTTTAACACTATACATACATTTATAAACGAAAAACATAATTTTATTCACTCTACATACCCAATTTCCTAATGATACATAAAGATATACTTTTTGGTGTTAGAAAGGGTGCCCGCAGTTCACATGCTAGTAGAAAAACCATAAACACAAGCGTTAGACAACAAAAATGGCAATAGTGATTTTAGTGTTTTTGTTAAAGGTAATATTTTTAAGGGGTAACGCCACTCTAGAATTTTGAAAAAATCGATTTTTGGGTAAATTGTTTAAACAATATTATGTGAAGGATATAGGGAAAAAGTTTTGGGTGGGGGAAAAATCGGGAACACGAGTTTTTCTAGGTAGAGTGCAACCACTTGCAGAGAGCTGCTGGAGTAACTTATAAAGACATGCGATAGTTAGCTATTATTGAGTCTCAGATAAAGCCTAAAGGAAGAGGATGAGGAAGATGTCAATTATATGATGCAGGCATCGCTGATTGAAGGTATACCGGTACATATAACGAATTTGTTATGCTGAATGGCAACAAAAACTTTAAAAGCATTTTTTGAGAAACCACTCTTTTTTTAACTAGACAGAAACATAACTCAAAATTTTCAACGAATCGACTTAAAATTTTGTACAGAGCTTCACAATAACATAACTGCGAATATTTTGTTTTTGTTCCAAGACCATCCGTTAACAGGAAACCTTTCCCGGCCATATAGCCCTATGAAAAAGAGTCTCGTTGCTTCCTATCACCTACGGAAGCCATTTTGAATCCCAATCGTTTGAAAAAATCCACAATACTCGCAAAAAAAATGAACAATAAAGCGGTTTTGTACTTGACACTATATCTTGTATCGATTTTTCCTTGAAGATTCTTGAAAATCAACCTCTAGAGTGGCATTACCCCTTAAGAAAATTATATGGCAATAAATCTAGTAAGTCTTTCTAAAAAAAAGTCAAATTAGCCTACTAATTTTGCAGATCAAATAAACTAGAAAAATTTCAATGTATATAAGCAATAGCCTCAATCAGATAGAAGAGAGATCATTTTAATCAATATTAACGTATAAGTTATTTTTACAATTTCAATAAGAGAAATATGCATGTGATGCTTACCGTTTCCACCGCTTTCTGAACCTCTCCTAGTAGTTCCAGTTGAGTCCCTCCTCCTTTGTAGAGCTCTGTTTCTTAATATATCCAAACTGAGTCCTGCTACGTCATCTGCAGTTACATCATCACTATCATTTGATGTCTTGGAGTCTGTACTTTTGGTTCTCTGTCGCACAAATTCTAAATGTTGTCGGCTCCCTACAATATATTTTTGTAGAAATAGACAATTCCACTCAATAAAATAAACGTACCGCTTAAAGAAATACTGTCTAAATGTTCTCTTTCGCATGTATCATCGTCTTCATCAAACCGATATTCGATATGTTGCCCATTGTCAAAAATATAAGCATCCGGCCTCACTTCGGTAAGAGACCTAACTATTGGCTTCCTTTTAGCTGGCAGCACCATCAACTGGCCAATAACAGATTCTTCTTCAGAGGGAGCTTCAGTCTGTTCGCTTATTGATCTTTCACGCAATCCTTCAGTTGCGGACGTGGACGGTACAATAACACCAAAGCGTTGTTTCTGAAACTGTTGACGCATCTCATCAAGTTCTGTGGCCATATCCTGCAACTGTTCTGTGAATTTACGACAACGAACTTCCAAATTTTGGAGAACAGTCGTTTGCATGTTTTCTTTCGTATGGATATCTTCAACTTTCTGAAAAAATTGAATAACGATATAATATAACAGTATCGAACCGATCTCTTGATGTGAATTACCTGAGTGAGATGTTCAATTCTTTCTGTAGTAACTTTAATTCTTTCTTCTGTCGATTGTTGTAATTTATTTTCTTGTTCAGCAAAATATCCTTCGACACAGTCTTCTTCAAAATCGTACAGCCGTTCCATCTCGTCCCTGTCCAAGAATAATTTCAAACCATTGTCGTAACTTTCTTCTATGCCCTCCATTTTCCGCTTTAAGTACTTGAATAACAAGAAAATGTGACAGAAGATTATAAAAGGAGGTGGCAGTATCGGTTTTTGTTCATACTCCATTACAACGGTGAATCTCTGGAACATCCAAACCTGATGTGCAATGGCGTTAACTTCATTGAATATATTGTTGAACACTGCTATTAACAAGTTGATGAGTAGGATGTTTGCAACTAATAAATAGATGGACATGATTACAGGTGAAATCCATCTGCCTGTTAAACATTCTTCTTCTCCTATTCCTCCACAGGGTGGATCTATTTTATCCGCATATACTTCACCATACAACATGAAGTATGGTTCCAAAAATACCTAGAATAATTTGATGGAATTAAAATTTTACAAGTTTATCTATCTAATGAACATCTAATGATTATTCGACATTTTAATGCCTTAGTACGTGAATCTGCCTATTTAAATTCTAGTAACAAAAAGGAAACTTTATTTTTTAACTGATAATTGCTCTCAAAATGCATTTACTTAAAGAAACACTATGTATAATAAGATTCAGGTCTTACAGTTCCAGCTGGCTGTAAAAATGATATAGGTACATTATTCTAAGTAAATATCTTTATGTTGAATTAAAGCATTAAAGCAAAATATTTATAATAAACTGTCAGTTTCTCTTAAACATCGGTCAGTTCAAACTTTAAAAGTTTATCGTTATTACCTCATGTGTTCAGAAACAATTAAGTCATAGCAATATCAATTGGAGTAGGTTTTCTGAGTGACAATAAACCAATTTAGATTCAATTATCTTTGTACAATTTTTACATTAAAAAAGTTACAGGAGTTCAAAAAAAAATTTGATATGTTTAAGACAACTCTCTCTTTTTTAAAGGTATTTCAATGAAATATAATATAGGGAAGGTTTTTGTTTGGGTAGCTGAACATGAATTATTTCTTACTTAAAATTACTTCCCTAAAAAATTTAAACAGAAATTAAAGTTTCCGACTTAAAGAATAAAAGTTGTTAAGAATAACTTAAGGTAGCTATATCCCAAGTTTAAGTAGAAAACTTTCAAGCAAGTCTCATATTTGAGGCACGAGTATCAACAACTGACAACGTCATACAGAGCGCAGCTGTGTGTGAGAGTGAGATTGATTGAACCTGATATTTACGGGGCACAAGGTTAGGTTAGGTTAGTGTTAAATATAGTGGATGAATTACAATCGTTTGATAAAATTTTCTTGTATATGTTAGCTTATTTGTTTTATTTGTCTGTTATTGTTTATACTTAAGTTCTTTGTCTGGATTTTATATTTTATATTTTAATTGCTCTATTTTATGTAGTATTTATATATTTTCATATCTAATGTTAGTTTATCTTTTTCTTTTAAAATTTAGTTAAAGTTTTCTGTTTTACCTTATCCTGTAATTGGGACTTTGTCCCGTTGGATATTGTAACTTCTAAATAAATAAATAAATAAATAAATAAATAAATAAATACAATTTTAAAAATTTTTACGGGAATCGTCCTTATTGTTTGATTTATTTTATTAGTTCTTTTAAACGAATAAAGGACACTGAAACGAAAAAGGTTTTATTTAAAAATTTTGTCAGCGGGCGAGCAAACTAACCTTTCTTCAATATGCGACGTTGCCGCGTTTCAGTTATATGAATAATTATCCGAAAAATTTAAAAGTGAGTATTCATTTCTTTAATTCTAGCTGCGATGAAAAACTATATAAGTAGGTAGTTACTTGGAGTATTTCTAAATTAATTAAACTTTGCTTTTTTGAAAAATGTAAGTGTGTTAAACCTTTTTTATACAATTTAGATCAAATCTGATCCAAAAATCCAGGTTTTAATTTGGAAACTCCTGCAAATAATAGAATAAATTATTTAAAAAAAAAGATTCATATGAAGGTGGGTTGTAGAACAGTTCATATTCATAGATATAGTGTTAAAACTAGAAAACATGTCACATTTTCTAAAACACCATTGATGATTTTGATGTAGATTGGTGAAACTTTATTCTCTGATTTATCTAATTAGAAGTAAAAATTCACTAAGTTGACTTGTAAATACATCAACTAGTCAGTGGTAGAGATATGAGAAGAAGAGTCTCAGAATTTTGACGCAGCAATTGAATTTTCTATAAATTCGATTAGAGATGATCCACGTTCATATGAAACTTTGTGCTTTTAAATATTTTTTTCTTCTTTTCGTGAAGTTTCCTGTATTTCAGTATGAGCAGATTTTTGAATTCAAATTGTGAAAAACTTTAATGTACGTAGTTGCGAATTTAAAGAGTAAATGTAATTAGAGATTTTGTTTGTGACAAAAATACTAGTAGCAAATGGACTGTACCATTATATAAAAGACAGTCTCTAGATATAAACTTATATATTTTCTACTCCAATTTACCATTAATTGATTTTTTATTAACATTTTTATGCAAAAAACGCATTTTTTAAAGCTTTTTGCTTATAAAACCTAAACTAATGCAGCAATCTGAATGCTATAAAGAGACAATTTGTAGAGAATTGAAATATGAATAAAACGAGAGGTCGATCGACCCGCTAGGATAATTAGAAACGAAGAAAATAAGGAAAAATCGGAAAATTTAACGTTTTTATTTTTAAATGTCGAACCATTAGTTTTGGCCCAATTGCAATTTGAATTTTTTGGTGCACTATTTTGCAATGTTTCTGGATGCGTTGAAGGTGGCCCGATTTTAATTTTTCAACCAGATTTTAAAAGTAGAAGTATAATACTACCAAACATATATCCTAATTTGCCGATAAATTGATGCCAAATAGGTGAAAAATTCCTCCAAACATGCTCAAAAACGGGGAAAGTTGGGAGATGAGGTGCAATGGATATATAGGTATATAAATTTTGGATATTGTTATTAATAATACCAGTACAATGATGTGGAACTTGCGGACATTCCTTGTTTTGTTCCTGCATTTTTTGACATTTACGCGAAATCTAGACATCAAACGTGAATTTGAAAGTTTAACAAAACCTACAATATGTTTTATTTTTTCCTCAAAAACGGTGCATCCTATGAAAAAATCGAGGAGAACAATTTCATTCAGAATAATTGATGGCGGATTTCTAAATTAAAACGGGAAAAAGTCAGTGGCGTACCATTTTTTTTAATAAAAAAGGTCGTGGCATTCTCGCATGGGCACCACTGGTGCAAGTAGAAATATTCGGATTACCCCAAAAAATGCACATTTATCCCTCTAAAGCAGGGGTCGGCAAGTAATTTTAGATGAGGTCCGGATACTTTTGAAAATTTTTAACGAGGTCCAGAAAAAAAAATCATATTTCTTATTTTTTTATTTTAATTTGGACTCAAATTTAATCTGCTTACTAATCATTAAGAACTCACACACTCATCCAATTGTAAAATACTAGAAAAAATGATAAGATTGGCACTTAAACGTAAAAAACATTTTTTAAATTATTTATTTGAGTAATTTATACTTTCAAAAAATTTTTGGCGGTCCAGTATTTTACCTTCCGCGGTCCGGACCTGGACCGCAGTTCGCCAGTTGCCGACCCTTGCTCTAAAGTGTTTTTCAAATTTCGAGGCAATATCTTTAAAACTCTGAAATAATTAATAAAAATAAAAAATTAAAATTTTAACACTGTATCTTGGAAACGAACCTATGTTTATATGAACTTTTTTCACAAAATATCTTCGGCAACCACTCCCTAAAATATTTCGCAATTATTTACAAACACACTGTATAAACATATCTGTCTTTTACATGATGGCACAGTCGGTTTGCTACTAGCATTTTTGTCACGAAATCACTGACTTAATGCTCTATTGATTGGCCTACTAGAATACTTGGCTCTCCAAAACCGCAATAAAGAATTGAAATAAAATTTTTTCTGGAACTAGATTTTAGTGAAATATAAGAGGTATATTTTTCTTCTGCAAATAAAATATTTACCACTCCTTTCCTTTCCCAAATTTCATTTAAATATCTTAAAAGATAAGAGTTGTATAAGTTAAATAAAATTATTTTTTTAAGGCCCATATATTTTTTAAAGAAGTAAAATATAAAAAGGTACCCTTGAAATGTAGCCCATTTTTTCTGTGAATTTACGTAATAGATACACAGAATTAATTTGTAATACTTACATCTCTAACTATAGTCCAACTAGCTTCCTTGTCAGGTGACAAAATAGCCTGTCTTGACACTCCAAAACTCATCAGTACTATTAACAACAGAACTACGAAATATATCATGTTTTTAACCATTTTACCCATCATTGTTACCAGTGGTCCTACAAAAGTGTCAATTTGATGTTCTCAAGTAATAAGTCTATTGTAGAAATATAACCTTACCCAAATATTTATTTACACTTAAAATATTCAATATACGAAGGTACCAATAAATACTGTTCACGCAGTATATTACCCGGCCTATTCTCAGTGTGTCTTCCCTTAACCTAAGCGACATTCCTATGAGAAAAGTCAGTACCGCGGCCATATCACAAGGATTCCACATATTCCAAGACCACACAGCCAGTTTCTGTGACAACCCTACGGGTTCGGACGAAAACAGTTCACGGAGTTTTTCACAACCAAGCGTGCAAACAAAAGCTATAGCCATCCACTCCTGCCAAGAAGGCATTGCCTCCATTTTGACAAGTACTGTGAAACTGAATATTACTAAAAATGTTATATAAGCAATCTGAAAAAAAATAAACATGTCATAATTTATCTGAACTGTTGTCTCATTACTCACAGCATTTGCCCAAAATTTGGTGATGGGAGCGGTGTAAAATTCGTACAACTTCTTTTTAATTCTTAGTTCACGGTTCTTTGGAGTTTTATCGATATATGATGTGTCGGTGAAGAATATGTGATATTTACTTTCATCCACCTCGGGTAAGACCTTTCCGTTCTCTTGAACGATGGTGTCTCGGGTTATGAAATTCTCAGTCAGAAGTGCCTATAAATGGAAGAAATGTGAAAATTTGTTTCATATATGGCTTTTACGAGGTAAGAAAATCACATAAAAAGTTGTCAATAGCAGATATAAACATAACATGGAAGCTAGAGAAAGCAAAAGCTTTATTGAAGTTTAGACTATTAACTAATCATTTATTTTCGCAAAGTATTTTTGTTACAGTTGTCATTGTTCACTATTTTTAGTTTTTTCACCTAAAATTTTGATTAAATATAAACCATTAAAGAGTCAGTTAATTAATTAAAAATACATGTGAAAATTTTATCTATTACCGACTAATTCCTTTTGTTAATCTATTTAAAGAATTTCAAGAAGGGCCAAACATTCAAGAATTATTCTCCATGTTGTGTATTAGCTGATAGTCTATAAAATGCAATAGTGTTAAAGGCAAGGTGTAGTAACAGAGAATAATAGTATTGTAAGTTAATAGTTTGTGAAGAAATGGAATTGGACAACACGTATATGTCTTTGTCAAGCTTTTGCTACCTTTACACCTTGTGGATTGGAAGATCTGCTCCGAATACTCAAACTTCTAGTACGCTTCTAGAACGAATAACATATCAAACCATATTAGGATATCTTAACGTTTATCATTGATTAACACAGTTAATAATTAATAATTACATAATTGTTTAGTGATCTGAATATACAAACATGCAAAAGTTGAACTATTTAAAAAAAAAATTTATTTAAAAAAAAATGTACAGGGTGAGTCTTAATAATAATTAAGAAAAAAACATTTAACTACAGCTGCTTCGGATAAAAACAAAACAATTATACCAATTATACTGCAGTATCAAAATGATTCCTTAAAAAATGACCAGTACAAAGTAATGAACGATATCCATATTTTTGGTAAAATAAGCCTGTGTTCATCTCCAGCTATTTTAAGTCAGTTATTGTAAAAAATGGAAGGTAATTCTATTAATTGCTTTGTTTTGTTTGGAAGAAGGCTATGTTTAAATTTTTTATTTCTAATTGTGCTCATGCTGATATTGGATAAAAGCAGCAGAAAAAAAGTTATAAAATAAAAAGTATCATTAAAGACAAAATTCATAACAATAGAAATTTTAATAAAATATCTACTTCAAAAATTTTCTAAAAATAATGTTAATGAAATATTTTCAAGAAGTTTGTTCAGCACAGTTTATACCTGAAAAGAAAAGAAAGCCAAACACAAGATGCCAAAATAATGCTAGATTAGCAAAGCACTAATATATACAATTCCATTTATAACTAAGCACTAGACAGAAGTGAAAAAATAAAAAAGTAGAAAGAAGGAAAATAATACGATTATATAAAAAGCAAAAATCAAGAAAATTGTTAATAACATGATTAATTAACAACTACTGGAGTTATATTTATAAATTATTGAAAAGGTAAAAAAATAATAATCAGGAACAAAATTAATTTAAATATTTTAAAACTGAATTTTTAACGTTCATTTATACTTATAAAATATAGAAATTTGATCTCTGCATATGCTTTAAATTTTTAATATTGGGTATTTTAATTGCAAAAATTGAAATTGAAATGTCATTCTGTTTTATTTGTACTACTAACTGTAGTTTAAGGAGAAAAAATGTTACATTACATGCTTGAGTTTGAAAAAGTGTATTCACATTTAAATGAAAAGTGTGCAATTATAGTAAATGCAATGTCACTTCAAATACTTTAAAATTAAAATGAAGGTGAATAAGTGAATACATATTTGAAATGGTGGTAAGATTACATATAAGGTACTGAATTTGTATGAATGTAGAAAATGTGCAGATATTTTGAGAATAGTGTTTTTACAGTTTCAGTGCAATTTTATGTATACTCTTTTAAATGTTGCTTACTTTTGGGTAAAATTCAATATATTGTTTTAGAACCACTTTGCGCTATAAAATATTCAAAAATATAAATTAGGCAATTCAGATGCAGTGCATTTGTTATTTTATTTATTTAAAATCAGGAATATCGTAAATTAATAACTTACTTCACCATCTGGGTTCTTTTCTGAATCAGATTTATCATCGTCCTCATTTTCTAATTCCATGTGCTCCTCAGTGGTTTGAGGCATAAGCTGCAGTTCTTCCTTAGACTTGAACTCTAACTTTAAGATATATGGCATAAAAATGAGTCCCATAATAACCTGTAAATAAAAGAATAATAGTGATCAGTATAAAACTTCTGCTGTTTACCGTCATACTTTCATATTGGTGTTCTTCCTTGTGCGTAAACCCCCCATCCATAAATCAGCTAGAATGATTTGCGAACATGGATGGGCCAATAAAGCTCTATGGTTTGCAGCCACAGCGAGACTGAGGCATGTTTGTCCAGACCAGTTTTGCAGCTCACAAGTCAGGAGTTGTTGCGTTTGGTCATCGTCTTGTCGGTAACAATAATCTAGTACTTCCAGCGCTAATCGAAGTAGAAAACAAATCAGTGTGACAAACATGGAAATGGAAATTGCTATTTACCAATGTTTTCAAATTCCTTTCCATATGCCCTCAATTCTTCGTAAACTTCAGTTTCCATGTCGTCTTCCGCTGCTTCGTGAGCCATAGCCTTGTAAAGCTTACATGCCACAAGGGCTTTAGCCAAAGCTTCTTCTCCATGTTGCCACATCAGCAGTGCCATTTTGTGCCTTTTTAAGAGGACTGCCCATATCTTAAAAAAATTACTGTTAGGTTATTTTATACAGGTTTTAGGGAATATAAGGAATTTTAAGGCTTTTAAGGAATATAATTCTCATGAACTTAAGTTCCAGATGGTTTTCAGGATTCAGAGCATTCAAATTATTTATAAAGAAACATCTTGCAACTTGTTTGATGGAGACTAATAAAACTTGCGCTAGTGAGTAACTAAATAGTAATAAAAAATGTTGGAATTTGTACACAACTGTACTGTACTACTGTACATCACTATAAGAATCCCAAAATTTCTACATCACTGAATATTTTTGAAATTTAATGAATCGATTCTTAATTGTAAAATATCTTTCATTCTATAATTTTCCGTTGAATAAATAGAAACTAACCATAAAACTGTTCACTTCATAAGAAATTTATTGTAGATAAAAATCATAAAAAAATCATTGACGTAGAAATTTTTAATTAGCAGAGGATAAATATCTATGCCACTGGACATTCTGCATTTTTAATGATTACATTGTATTCAAAATTGTATCTGAGATGAAACATTTGTATATTTCTTTCCACAAGCAAGCAATTTTAGAATTATTTTCAATTTATTCAGTTGTATGGAAAAAGTTTATTTTAGTTTCCAGAGTTGACTTTTTTGCCCTAAATAATAAACAAATTAAAATAATTCTCATTACTAAAACTTTACTACACACTATAAACTACAAATAATAATTTATATAACAATTCGTTGTTTTGATAGTTTGAATGTCAATAATGATTGTTCCTCATAGACCCCTTGATAAAGTTAATTAGCTGTAACCTCTGATTCTTTGAAACTGCATAGATTTGCATGAAAATTTAGAATAAGGCTCATCTTAGGCTCAAGTTCAAAAGTGACATAAGCCCGATTGACGCTTTTTATTTTTTAGGGGTAAAAACTGCCCCTAAGTGAAAAATATTGAAAAAATTAAGTTTTAAGCATTTCATTGATAAAAATCTTGTTCAAGCACAAAGATTAAATAATGTTCCATGTTCTCGAACATGTTTTATGATATATTTGATCTTTTTGACCCTTTATTTAACTCTTAAAAACTACCCCTATGCAAAAAATAATGATAAAAAATTACTTTTTAAAGATTTAATTGGAATGAATTGGAATGATTAAATTGTGCAATTATTTAAAATAAAAGTTACCTTATAGCTAATAAAATAATTTTTCCCTTTCAACCCCTAAAAACCACCCCTGTATTGACAAAATGATACTTTTAAAAAGCTTGGAATGCTTTAACAGTGCAATTATTTAAAATAAAAATTCCCTCATTGCTTATGAAAGAATTTGTATCTCATAAAACTTTTCAACCCTTACAAATCACCCCTGTGCTAAAAAAATTATACAAAATTACGTTTTAAATCTTGTAATGCTATAATTGTGCAATAATTTAAAATAAAAATTCCCTTATATTGTTTATGAAAGAATATTTTACTTTTGCCAACTTATAAACTACCCTTTTATCAATGTTAATGTAAAATATTTTTATTATAATCGATATTTAAATATAATCAATCTTAAAAAAAATTGCTACGCTGCATATAAATAATCACACTAAATTTTTTTACTTGTATAATATAATATACAATATATAAAAATGAGAAAGCCTATTTTGCTCCGAAAAAATGTCATTGGTTTTTTTACCATAACTCGGTTAATTTTGAAGCTATAATATCCTGCAAAAAAGCATTTTAAAGATAATTTCAAGAGCTGTAAGATCGTTTGCATATAAAACCTTTTAAGCTCTTCGTTTTTTAAAGGGAAGCGATCGAAGGGCTCGAGACAGGTCGTTTTTTCACTAAAATGGATACTTCAAGCAGCGATATCTCCTTTATTTTTTATGCTATAGGAATAAAAAAAGCAAAATATTTGTTGAAAAAAAGCTACATTTTTGTTGTCTATCATTTTTTACATATCTTTCATAGTTTCAGAGTTATTATATAAATAAGGCAATTTTTTTTGAATAATGAAAAATACGTTTTGAATTTTTACCGTACATTATTAAAAAAATATGCATTCTAAACCGGTCTAACTTCAGGATTGTATGAAAAACACTAAAAAATACTAATTGTAAAGGGTCTACGATTAATTTTAATTCTGATGGAGATGGTACAGCATTTACTACTCATTTTTCCTTAAAAAATATGAGCAACCCATCTGTTTTTGACGATAATTCCTTAAATTTTGCTCTAATTAGCTTTTATAAGTGCTCATTTTGAAGGTCTTTTTAAGTACTACAAAAAACTCTTAGAGCGTTATATATGTAAAATTAATCCTTTTTCCATTATTTGACGTTGAATACATCAATTCCAGTATTCCCCCCAAAACAAGTCCACTTCCACTAACCATATTTCGCTTTGTATAGAACGTACAACACTTTTTAAAAAACGATTTTCTTTGTTTATTTATAAGCTACATTTTTGTTCATTATACTTTTTTAATAAAATGCGTAGTTTTGAGTTATTCGCGAAAAATGCTTTGAAAAAGTGTTTTTTTTTTTCACTTAAAAGTTTTCAATCGTGAATAACTAAATAACTATCGATTTCTCGAAAAAATTCGTCGAATATCTTTTGCTCAAAATTTGATTCTCTATCGATTTTCAGCGTTATTTTTGAAAAAAATGTCAACCCCCAACAGGGTGGAAGCGTCAATCGGCGCTATGTCACTAATGTTCATTGACCTTTTCTCTAACTATCTGCCAAATTTCAAGTCGATCGGTTCATTTTCAAAGAATTCGTAGGTGAAAAGCTTCAATGACTGTACTAAATGTGAAAATTGAAAAATAAAAGTAAAAATTGCAATTATCTCATCTAAAATTGATATCTAATTGCTGGAATAAAATTCAAAGGATCCCGCACAACCTTACATCTGCCAAAATTTTCATAAAAATGTCAATATCTCATAAACTATAAATTTTAGGAACTAGGTTTGTTATACAAAGTGAACTTAATATTTCAAGTAGAATCAAAAAAAGCAAAAGCATATAGGGTGTTCCATTTAAAATAACGAAGATGGCGTCGATTTCTGGTACAATCGGAAGTGCTATGACCTTGAAAATATTTTAGTTGTGTAGTTGTCCCCCCCACTGACTGATAAGTTGCCAAATTTTCAAATTTTTCAAATAATTATTTTTCCAGATATACTGTGTATTCAAAACTATTTATATTATATTATTTATATTCAAAATTATTTTCGATTTATTCCAATATGGTAAAAGTTTTTAGGCTATAAAAATAATAACTCAAAAACTGACTTGTAAGCTTTTAAGTTATTGCCATAGAAATATTTTTCAGTAAAATAATGTAAATAATTATCTTTATTCTTGGCATGCATTTAACAATCATTCTGTGCTAAATGAGGAATAAATAAGACAAATGGTTCTTACCAAAAGCTCATTAAAGGGGTAGTCAAACAAACAGGGGTTGGCATTTCCCGGAAGAGCACCAGCTAATAGGCTCATAGCTCCAAACTGCCTTGCTGACTGATTAGCCATACTTTGCCCTTTATTCATTACCTTTGCATAAATAGGTCGAAATTTCCTTCTTGTATAAAAAGCCCTGTATGCACCACCCATTAGTTTGTTAATTACTAATCCAATATCGTGTAAAGTATAAACGTAACCAGGAGGGATATGTGGTCTTACGTCTCTTAATATGTAACGTAAAGTGTTAGTAGGCCCTTGTTTACTATTATACAAATTTTCCAGTCTTGGTATTGTTAAGAATTTTCGCATGCTCACACCATTCTCTAAAAGGAGTTTTACGAAGTCACATCTGTCGTGTTCTAGAGCTTTTATCATCGCGTCTTCTAAAGCTCCCTGGGGCCATTCTTGACCATAAACGAATATCTCTGATCTTGCTATATCTGCTCGGTTCCATGTTAGAGCTAGGCTCAGTTGTTCTGTTGGTGAGAGATGCTGAGACTTAAATAAAGCTGTTAAAACTGTTTGGTCCAATTCTTGGGGTTTTTGGTCATATTTGTCAGCTATTCTAAAAATTGTTATCTAAAATATAAAAAATATAATATGAATAACATTTTCTTCAAAATGGTTTAAAATCAGTATTTTGCAATGAACTATTTAGTGTGTATGATGCAATAAGTTTTTCCAATTTTTATTATCTTAGAAAAATAGGATTATAGTTTAATAATCGCATGAGTCACTCGAAATTTAAATTTTAGATACCTTTTATAGTACCTGCACGGAAAATTCTTGCAGAATTAAATGGTTTGTAGTATTGGATATTAATAACAAAAATACGGTTATAACATAAAATCATGGAGCTTTATCTATAACACACTATGCTAAAATTTGGTCAAAATATACAGGGTGATTTCAAAGTTTGAATCCAAAATGTAAATATGCAATATGCATCACATAAAAAATATTGATCCTTACCTTACTATTTTCTGTGCTTAGTGATATCATAAAAATTCAATATGCATTGTTGATGTAGTTTTGACAACAACAAATTCTCCTTTTTTTTGATTTGGTTCTGTCTAGCACCGAAATTGATGCAATAAAAATTTAGTGTTACTTCAATTTAAATTCAGGAAATATTAAGTGTGTAATAAATATAATTTAATACTCCTGTAATGATGTGTAATTAATTCGTTACTAATTAAACGTGATGTTGATACAAGTAAAAAAGGCCCACTGAGCCTCAAAAATATACCTACCGGACATTACGATTAAAAATACTCATTTCAAAATATATGTAAATGTCAGATATGTAATAAAAAACTTACTAGATGTTTATTTTCTACGCACTGCATCAGTTCTGCAAAGAGTCCATCCGCTAGTTCCACTGCTACTTCAAATGCTCTTTGAATGGTTGCGATGATGTATTCTTTCATCGTTTTAAGTACTGTACAATCATATCTGTAAGTGAAGCAAAAAATTACAGAAGATTAATGAATATTATTTTAAAGGCGTACTTGCACATGAAGGCGATGAGATCAGCTGCCCTACCAGAGCCATCACAGACAACTACAGGAACTGGAGGTTCGTCAGTCACATATTCTAACACGGCTCTAATTGTGTTTGTGCCACCTTCTATTACCAAACACACTATTGGTATGGGACTTTGTGTAACTAAAATTATATTTACATATGTTTATGTCATATTAGCACATTTGTCAACGTATAATTTTTACAAGGTTTGTATCAATTTGTGGATGTGCATAAATATTTTCTTATTTATGAAAAATACTCTTATTCGGAGGAAAATAGTCAGAAACACATATTTTGCAAGATTCTAAATAAATTAATCGGATTAATCAATAAATATTTTTATTGATTAATTAATTGAATTGGAACTTATTTACCGAAGATAGTACTAAGAGATGGATGTTGATGTATTTCATTCAAATTAAAATTATAAGCTGATAAAAACTGTATTTTGAAGTTATTATAACAGACTAGTATATGCTTGTTTAACTCTGTAAATACTTACATGGATATAATCTCTGTTTTGATATGTACTTTTCTAGTCTCCTTCGTAGAATGATTTCTGCACCATATTTTCCCACTGTTCCGTTGTCCACCAAAAGGAAGTATGCATGTCTATTGTTTAAAGCTGCGTTTTTGGACCTGAAAAACGTTGTCAAATTCAAATTTAAGCAGGGAGATACAATTCGTACAATATTTGTTGAGATAGAATTCCAACAAAAGAATGAGCCAATAAAGTTCTGTTATCGGAACTACTATAACAATTTACCGCGTCAGGCGCCTGCCTTGAAATTTTCCGCTAATGGCTTTATAGATCGGGTGTCGAATGCGGTTAATTCCAAGAAAGTGACGCAAGGGTCTTCAACAAATATTGTACGGACTGTATGTAGTTTTTTCTAATTTTTTTCTGTGACACGAAATATTATATTTGTTCCTGGAAAAATCCGAGGCCAAACATGATTTACCTAGTGCGGAATACTTATTTACTAATTGGAAAGTTCATTTTCATGTATTTTTTTCAACATTGTGTAGCCTTACGGATTGATGTGTCAGTACCAATTAATCTCAACTAATGCATTATTTTCGTCCTTTAAATTAAAATAATGAGCAAAAAAGTTAATGGCTGATTCGACCCTTAACAACAAAGATTCCGACGAAGAAACTCAATTTACTCAATTAGGTACTCCAAAGAGTTGAAAAGATAATTAAAAAATCTTTTGTTCCAAGTCGATAACATTAACTGTTCTTGAAAAAAAGCATTCAATATTTAGGGGCATTTTTAAAATAGTTAAAATTTTGCAAATCTGCAGGATTTGAACATAAAACAAAAGTGTGTTTATACAGTTTTAAGAATTAAAATCTACCAATCATATTCAATTACATTTTGATTAATTTAAAAAATGGCAAAAATTTATATTAAAAAACATTGAGGTTATTCATATAACATTAAAATAACGTTTCCATGAAACTAATATTAATTTTGTATGAGTGGAATCACCCCTTAATTCTTATAGTTTCCTCTGTATTCTGTACACGATTATACCGAAGTTGTAAATGACTAAAAAAATTAGCCATACATCTGCTTATAGGGCGTAAGAACTGTTTTTCAATTTTTTCGTGTTTTTTCCAATCGAACTAGTGAGGGTAGAAAAAAAAATGATACAGAAAAAACTGAAAAAATTATCCTAGATTCCTATAGGTGACTATAACATTCTAAGACCGCCAACACTCAAAAATAGTCCAGGCTTATAATGGTTTCGGGTGCATTTACTGTAAATTTGAAATAAATGTTATCGACTGTGTCTTTCGCAGTTTTATGTAATGCAGTATATACAGGTCTGGCCAGGTAATCCTTTCGTATAGATTAAGTAAATCTCCTCTATCAACTTCGGGTGGAAGGGGTCGGACATGACATATATCATCAAGGCTGCGGCTCGGACTCTCGTAACTGGTTGGCTGTGGGAGCGCACGTGCCCCGTTGCATTTTTTTGTGAACCGACCGCATACCTAAAGCGCTTTGCTGTTTGTTTAGTTTTATTTTTATTATTATTCCACTCAAACCTTTGGTAAGAGGTAGATGCGAATATTACAAAATAAAAATGGTGTACAGTGTCGAACAAAAAATTAATTTTATTAAATGGTATTGTCGTGCAGAACAAATTAGGGTATTGTGAAGCTCAAGCAGGTGGTTTGTTTGAACACCTTATTAATTAATAATAAGCTTTAATTTAATAAGCATTTGAAAATAATTTATTATTTTGCTTAAGAATTACCACTCAGTTTATTTTAGAATACCGTTTTAGTTTTTACTAAAGGTTATAAATAATTTGTAATAAAGTTCCTCTAACCTCTAAAATCTCTTATCATTCTTGTAAAAAAATATCGTACAAATAGGGTAATTACTGTACGTATGGCAACACTGCTGTCAATTCCAGGCCGTGGCTTATACTCTTTATGATATCGCAATAAATCAAAAACGTAATTATTGTCCTGTATTCTATCTTCCGTATGTACGTATCTCAAACGTACGTTGTTCCCAAATTCCTAATGCAAGACAGAGACAATAAACCAATAGTCAAGGAGAGCTTAGAACCGCAGGCTTCTTGTGGCGTTTTTTTATTCCCTTATATCGATGGCATACAGCACAGACCACCGCATAAGTTATACAAAATGGGGGCGGAGTCAGAATTATTAGGGGAGACTGGTGAAATATTTATATAATTTACTAACTTAGTATCGGAAATAAAAATATGACCAAACCTGTATGTATAAACTATGCTATTTGTAAATATTACTGTCAATGATAAGGACCTTTAAACCAATTACAGATAAACTGATTTCGTATAGGACTTCAGCAATTTCCGGAGCTTAAAGCTGGAGAAGGTCTAACCGGATAGATTCTATTTCCGCTTAAATCACGGGCAGATGGGACATTTTCATTTCATTTTATTTATAAACATGCAGAGGAAATGTATAATTGCATCCATTACAGTTTTAGTGCTACATGTATAAATACTACTTCAGGCGGTATTCTAGATATTAACTAAAATTTTATGTTTTTTGTCCAAATTAAACTCAATATGCATAGAGAAATTGATATAAACTTTTCTACTAATTAGTATAACATTTTTAGAATATTTAGTTTAAAGCACCTGAAAATAAAGTTTTATTAGTGCAAAAGTTTTCAGATGTACCATTTATATAAAAAAATAATAATACGTAAGGTCATCGATTGTTACGAGCATAAGTTATATGTGCAAAGTATAACTTCTTTCTCTTAAGATGGGATCCTTAGACCAGTGGATATTATCTAAAAACAGAAGGTTTTGCCAGAAAAAAAATACGAATAACACCGACTTGTCATGTCTGATTCTGTGACGATTTTATTGCTATGGCCTTGATAAAGTGGGTTAGGAAAGTGACAATTTTTATTAAATGTCATTATAACATCTAAAAAAAATCATTTCACAAATTCCAGTCATGTTTCACTAAACAAGATGAAAATGTACAAAATTCAAGTGACCAATTCCATTAAGCAATGAACTCAAGAATTATTTCCACCACATGTATGAGAAGCATATTGAACCTAAGTAAACTTAAGGTAAATAATTCTTTATCCCCAATATTAGCAACGTTCGATTCACATCCAAGTGCAAGTCTCAATAGGGCTTTATCTAGAAGCAGTATCCAGAACAACCATTTACTGAATTATGACTTATCAAGAAGTATACACACGAAAGTTCCCAGGACACCCGACCTCATCTACATCCCACACATTATGCGATGGCTGAAGACCAAATTCCGGTTTAAATTGTTGCAGAAAACTTGGGACCCCGATTTCACCGAAGGGTCTTTCATTTTCGGAACCACCAAAGCCATTTGCAGAATCACGGAAATCATCCACGAAAATAAACCTGAACAGTTAAAGGGACTTTTAACTACATCGGCTCTTATCAGACTCAAAGACGACATCTCGACGAAGCTATCAAGAACGCAAAGGCTGATAATAAAAATCAAACCTGAGGATATCAAAATCTTAGTTCCTATGAACGTCACCATGAACAAAGACGGGGAACACAAACATTGCAGGGTCGCAATGAGAGTTCTGGCTTTGAAATGGGTCATGCAGAATAATGGAATTCTGAGGTTGGTCCTCGTGGCCTTGCAAACGGAGTTTTTGCGGGATTATACACTAGGTGCCGCCTCGGACTGGACGATAAGTTCTTTTGACATATTGGAATGCACCGTTTTAGCCCAATCGTAAAAATATANCGGACCTTTTCCATTCAACGCAGAACTGACACACAGAACCAGGGGTGTGGGGAGAATTTTTCAATTATTTTTTCGATTTAACTCACTGTTCCCGAGTTATACGGCCTTTTTACTATAACACGACATACCTCTTGTTTCCAAAATTTATTTTCGACATACGGACTTCGGACCTTTTGCATTCAACGTAGAAGGAACATACAAAACCCGGGAGGGAGGGGTTGACATTTTTCAATTATTTTTTCGATTCAACGCACCGTTTTCGCGTTATAAACACTTTTTTATCCTATGATGTCACACACCATTGCTCCTGATTTTTTTTTGACATGCGGGTTTTGTCGTTTTTCACTGGTTCATCATGGGAGATTTATTTGTTCACCATGGGAGATTTTTTTATACTTAGAGTCTAAGCAAATACTGTGAAATTTGTTTATATTTCGAGCCATTTCCGAGCAAAAATCGTTTTTTTTCCCTTCTTATATTGTGTGACATCATAGATAGATAACGAAGGCTAAATAGGCCACGCGCTCTACCCCACGCTCCCTCCCTAGGTGTCCTGAAATTGCTGGGGAGACTCCTGAAGAAAGCAGAGAGAGAAGCTATCTATGAGGACAGAGTCACTCTATCTCTATCGCACACTATAGCTCTATCTCTCTCGCACACAATCAGACAAAAACGACAGAAACGAACCTTCTTTTAAAAATACTGGGATTTATCACTATTAGAATAACCCATTTTAATTTAAAAAATTTAAAAAAATTACAATGGGTTATTCTGATGACGAAACATAAAACATAATTAACTGTATTATCCAAATAACAATAATGTGCAAAAGTTCTTCAGGAATATTGGCAAATTTACTTTGGAGGAAGAATCCCGTCAACGAACACTAAAAAATATTATTAGAAACCTTAGGTGGCCAGAAAACAGCCCCGATCTCATTGTCAGTCCTTTAGACATATTTTTTTTACCTGAAAATTTGCAAGTATTGAAAAAAAATACAGGACGAAATGCTTGATAATTTTGAATTTGTTTTTGAAGCAATTAATAGTAAATTGAAACATATTTTCAACTGTATCATCACAATCACTTGCATGTTGATTTGTAAAAATTGTAGGTATATTAATGTTATTTCGTTTTTAGTTATTCTCCTTATGTTGTTGTAAAGGTTAGTTATAAAAAGCGTTGTTTGTTATTTTCATAAGGATGAATTTTAATTTTTTTTAATGATTTTTTTTATTTTAAACATATATATTTTATGCCAGTAAATTTTGATGTCAAATGAAATAAAGGAAAAGTCGTACATTTGTATTTAAAGTTTCTTTCTATCTTTAATTATTAAACCTATAAGTGGATGTCAAAATACAAAAAAA